AATAGCTGAAAGGCAATTAACATGCATTTTCCAAAAAAAGGAAGTATTTATTTTCTCAAAATTGAATATAGGAAAAAAAACAAGTACTATGTTTATGAATGTATATGAATTCACTTATTTGTCAGCATATATTTATTAATTAAATTTTTATGCTGTCCATTTTACCTATAAGGTGACTCTAGGCAGTTTACAAGTTATAAAACAAATAGACAAATTAATAAAATATTAAAACATTAATATTAAAACACAGGTTAAGATTTTAAAGCTATAGTGTTTAAAACTATATTGTTATATGTTATATATGTCTACTGTTTTTGGCTTCTTGTTATTTGGGGGTGCAAAATTACCACATGAAGTTACTAGCTTCCTAATGATTTTGATATCCACTTGAGTGAATTCTACAGGCCCAAACCATTTTAAAAAGATGTTTTTTCCCTCTCTGTAGATAGCAGTTGCTGATCTTCCAGGATTAATAGAAGGTGCCCATGCAAATAAAGGAAGAGGCCATAAGTTTTTGAAGCATGTGGAAAGGACTAAACAACTTCTCTTTGTTGTAAGAATACATTCCTTGTCAGCATTTGCATGCTTAATTTAGGCTGATTGGCCAACATACGAACTGTGTTTTTGTGTATATACAAAAACCAACTTTGTTGTTTATAAACCAACTCATGGATAAATAGATCCTCACATTTTAAACAAAGTACCATAAAAATGCATGCCAGCTTATTCACAAGTGACACATTTTTCATGGTGTTTTGGTTAAAAAATTGAGGGTCAGTTTATCTGCAGAATATATAAGGTTGTTCACACCATGTTAATCAGTTAACTATTATTTATTAAACCATGCTTTGTTGAATTAATACAATAGCAAAACCAAACCTCCCATAATTTTGGCAAAGCTTAATGTCTGAACTTCAGACTGAAAGCAATTTCCAAGATGAAATACTGAAATATTTTCATGAATACAGAACACTGAATGTATATTTCAAAGTATGAATTCTTTAATATTTATGGCAATTCATTTTTGAAATTAAAGCTTGGAGTCTCCTAGATTGTCTGTCTAAATGCTGCTGAGCAATCAGTTTAAATAGCAAATGAATAATTGGTAGTGAATATTTTGGGTAACTTAGAGGAGTGGGGACACTTGTGGTACAATTTCCACTAGATCCAGAATAAGACAATAGCCAACTATGTAAAGAAGTTTCTATAAAAAGATCTATGCAGATATAATGGAACCCAGAAAAGTATATAAATTATTTAATAGTTTCAGTAATTTAGAAGGTAAAGGGCTATTTTCTGAAACTGTACTTTGTATATAAATAAACAGCTACATTATTAACTTTTTTCACCTTTACTCATCATTTAGTAAAGATAACCATGTGAGTGAAAATATTCATTATTTTTTAAATTTAGATTGATGTGTCTGGGTTCCAACTTTCTTCTCATACACCATTCAGGACAGCATTTGAAACTATAATGTTACTAGCAAAGGTAAAATTCTGTCCCTTTTATGTTGCAATATTGAACTATATATAATTTCATGATGAAATATTTAGTTGCATAATAAATCCCTTGAAATTATAATATTGAGTTTCAATTGTATTGTATATCTGGAAGTTTCCCCCCTGGTATTTCTAGGGACAGGTGATAATAAAGATGTTGGGATAATTTGTCCCTGGAAGGATCTGCATAACTCAAAGCAGTTTAGCATGTTTTATTTCAATTTAGATAAAAATATTGCTTTCTATTGACAGTAGATTTCAGATCTGGCCTCTAAGTCAGAGAATGGCAATAATTGTGTAATTATATTTCAAAAGTATACCATTACCAAATTCCCATTTAGTTGTGTCCAAATCTTGGCGACTTTCATTTAATTTAATAACTTTATTGTCATTGTACATGTATACACAGTATACCCATACAATGAAATTCACTTAACATCCAAAGACCAGGTCCAACACACATAACAATCCCCAAACCCCCCCCCACCCACCACAAATTGCCCACCCCTAAACCACCCAAACATCCACACAACAGACCAATGCTGTCCAACAACTCCCTGATGGTGGCCTTTTAGTTCATTGTTGAGTGCAATTATAGCTCTGGGATAAAAACTATTCAGAAAACGTGTGGTCCGAGTTTTAATTGTTCTGTATCTTCTGCCAGAAGGCAACAGTCCAAAAAGATTGTAAGAAGGATGGGAAGAGTCTCTGAGAATGTTGTGCAACTTCCTCAAACAGCGAGATTCGAAGATGTCGTCCAAGGCTGGTAGCTGGAGCCCGATGATATTCTGGGCAGTTTTAATGATTCTCTGTAGAGCTTTTCTGCTCTACAGAGCTGCTCCCATACCATGCAAGAATGCCGTATGTCAGGACACTCTCAATGGTGCCGCGATAGTAGGACAGAAGTAGATGCTGAGATAGATTTATCTTCCTGAGCATTCTCAGGAAGTACAGCCTCTTCTGTGCCTTTTTCACAAGCATGTTAACATTCATAGTCCATGAGAGGTCCTCCGAGATACAAATGCCCAGAAATTTAAAACTACCCACCTCTCCACCTCCTTACCATTTATGTACAATGGTAAATGTACATCTCTCTTCGTCCTGAAGTCAATTATAAATTCTTTAGGTTTTTTTGGTGTTAACTGTAAGATTATTTTCTTTATAGGCAAGTGCTCTCCATGCTATGGTGTATATACCTAGAAGTATTCTTCTAAATGAACAAAAAATTAAAGAAAAGACACATTGACATTTTAAAAAATGTTTTATTTGGGAGTGCCTTTCACTGCTAGTGCAAAACTAAAGTTTCATATTCATGGGGTGAACTAAAATATATAATTATACAACTGCCTTAATATTATATCGTACCATGTTTATGTTATGTATGTTAAGTAATACTGAATTGCTTAGTAGTCAAATATTTTCCAAAAAGTCTATTTTGTATGCAAATTATATTTGAAGGAGCTGGAACTGTATAAAGAAGAACTTCAAACTAAATCTACATTGCTTGCTGTGAATAAAATGGATTTGCCTAATGCTAAAGAAAATTTTGAAAAGTTAATGGAACAACTACTGAAACCTCAAAGTAAGATTCACTTTGACTAGTTCCTTTTAAAATGAAGAATAGTTTTACCTTTTGGATCTAAAGTATCAACAATAATTGATAATTGTGAAAATTGTGGCTTCTCTTACAGATCAAAAATTCATAGCAAGATTTCTAGTGTCTAAATAATAATTGTGGTTCAAGAAGGTAAAATACCAAAAATATTTCTGTCTGCATCATAATGAATACACAAGGCCATTGCTACTTGGTGGAGATGTAGTTATCCCAATTTCAATTCAAATTATCCTCTTGAACTATCATAGAAAACGAATATATATTAACAATCATGCATTGGCCTTTTTTCCCTTCTTTTTGTCTTAAAATAGAAACATATTAAACAGAGAGTATAATTACCCTCTTTTTTCAAAGAAGGAAATGTTAGAAGCATCACTGATCATTTTCATTGCATTTTCTTTTCCTTTGTTAGGACGTTTTGCAGCAACTTTCTATAGCTTAATTATTTATGACATATTTTCTTCTTTTCAGATTATTTATATTTGCTTCCACGAAAGATGATTCCTGAAGTCACTGTCAAATTCAGGGAGATCATTCCTATATCTGCACTTACTGGCGAAGGATCTGAGCAGTTGATTACATGCTTAAGAAAAATAATAGATCAAGATGCTGAAGAAAAGATTGAAAGTTATCAGAGGGAGCAACTTAGTGCATTACATCTCTCAAAAATATAGCAACACTTTTCAATTAAACTAATTGAGCAAGTTTTGTAATTCTTCCTGTAATTGAATTCATGATTGGTTCTCTTTCTTAAGCATAAATATGTGTATTCTATTCTTGTAAAATAGTAAAAACATATGCAGATTTTAAAATTATGTATCTCATGAAATCTGTAGAATAATTTTTAAAACATGTAAATATGTACTTTTATATATTGATCTTGGGGCTCAGTTTTCTTTATGAAAGACTTCAAGAATAATACAATAATTATTTATTTTGAGAGAGCACAACACATTGTCCTAGAAATATCTAATGCTACAAGTGATTTCTGGAACTATTTTGGGCAGAAATATTTAAATTACTTATAGCCATTCTAATGGCAGTTGTAGAAAGTCCTGCACTGGTACATCTTTTAGCATGTGAAGTGTTAGTACCACTTTACACTGCACTACTAAAACCATACTTGGACTATTGTGTCCAGTTTTGATCAGCGGGATACAAAAAAGATGTTGAGACTCTGGAAAGAGTACAAAGAGGTATACAAAGATGATTAGGGGACTGGAAGCTAAAAACTGTACAATGAATGGTTGCAGGAGCTGAGAATGTCTAGTTTAACAAACAGAAGGACTAGAAGTGACATGTTATCAGTCTTACAATATTTGAGAGACTGTCACATAGAAGAGGAGGGTCAATCTATTCTCCAAAGCAAGACAAGACCTACAGATCAAAGCTTAACGAGAAATCCAACTCAGCAATAGCATAGCATTTAGACTTATATACCGCTTCACAGTGCTTTATAGCTTTCTCTAAGCAGTTTACGGAATCAGCATATTGTCCCCAACAATCTGGGTCCTCATTTTACTCACTTCAGAAGGATGAAGGCTGAGTCAACCTTGAGATTTGAACTGCCAAATTGTAGGGAGTTGGCAGACAGCAGAAGTAGGTTGCTGTACTGCACTCTAACCACTGCGCCACCAAGGATAAATTTCCTGTCAGTGAGAACAAAACAATCAGTGGGGCAGCTTGCCTCCAGAAATTACGGGTGCTCATCACTGCAGATTTTTAAGAGATAGGACAGCTATTTGTCCAGAATGATATAGGATCTGTTTGAACATGGGGTTTGACTAGAAGACCTTCAAGGTCCCTTCCAGCTCTATAATTCTAATGCTATATTATGCAAATCTAGTCAATTATGGTTTATTCAACCAAACATCTTAGTATGAAATGACGATTCATAGAATGTCATTCAATAGTTCATACATGTATCTAGTTTTGCACTTCATATCTAATGAAAAATGAATGCAAAATCTAACATTAGGGTTGAAAATACTTGGAGTTCAGAATATAATGTACCCATTGGGGAATTTTAACTACCTGGGAGGATGGTGGTCTATAAAATTTCTTGTTCTGTAGACGGAAGTTTTCTAAATGATTCAAAAAAGGTGGTGAGTTAGACAATTGATAGCTTCTCGTTCTCCTACATTGTTTGGAGAAATGGAAAGGCAGTAATGAAGCTTGTACATTAGTATTCTAGGAAGTGGAGTTGGGAGTGGAGACCAAATTGGAGAAAGAGAGAAGCCACCTGGTTAATACATCCTGCTAAGCTATAATTTATTGTGAAAATAGTTGATTAAGCCATAATGGATGTACACGTTTCATCATGCCATAACCTGTGGCTTATTAGATATATAATGGCTGGTTTTATCTAGCCAGTAGAACTAGCTTCTGAATAAACTTCCATCTAGTTATGCTGTAAATTCCCTGAAGGCAGAGATGAGTAAAATGAAAGCCCAGGGCTTGTAGACTTTTATTCCTTTTTGGCAACCCTTTGCATCCCTCTGATTATAGTTGCTGAAAATCAAGAACACCCATTGCACCATATTCAGATTTGTGTGAGATGGCCATTCCCATTTTACTTTCCTATAAAATGTCACGTCAATTTTCCCTAGATCTAAGATTTGGCTGTGTATGCTTTCCCCTTTTAAACAAGGGCAACTTGCTGTCTTTCTAATGCCAAATCAGCAACTACTTTAAAACTTGGCTATCGTTGGTTCAAACTAGAGTTGCGAGATCTGACTATCACTATCTGATCAATAGTGGGTCCACGGATGCATTGCAGGAACTGAACTTGTTTTTTGTCCTAACGATAACTTTACTAATGTTCATTAAAAACACCTCTTCAAAATGAAACTTAAAGCGTCGCAAGAGAATAACTGTACTTTCTATATATTTTGTAATTAAACATCCATTTTAATATTTTTAGGATAAAAATCCATTCGCAGAATTCACACTGGCTTGTTTAAAAAAAAAAAACTGCGGTAAAGCAACCCTAACAACTAGAAGTCTCGAAGGCGAAAGCTCATTTCACTCAAACCGCTTCCTTTTGGCAATTAATCCCGATCCGGTCCTCAAAGGACAACCTCAATTACAGCCGGGAAGGTGTAGACTTCAGTAATATCTATTAAAGGAGGATGTTGGGAATTGTAGTCTTTGGAAGCACGTGGAAACTAAGAGAACTGTGGAGAGAAACTACAGTCCCAGGAAGCTTTGGGCAGACCTGGAAAAGGCAGCCACTTCCTGAAAATCCGGGAGATCGAAGATGGATTCGGTGTTTGCAATTGTGTGCATTGTGCGTGGGAAGCAGGTTAGAAAGGGGAGATTTGCTGTCTGTCTGCCTATCTGTTTATCAACAAAGATGCCAATTTTCATTATACATTAATGAGTTTTCTTTCCTGCCGGTTTAGACCGCTAGGGCTTTTTATCGGTGTAGTGTTCATTTCTATGAAATGCGATTGTATAATTATTATTACGATTGTTTGTTATACTTATACTGCGACTCTGCCTCATTGAGTGTCAGAGGCTTATCTGCCAATGCAAAATTGGGTAACTGTGATAACAAAGATGTTCCTGAAGCACAAGATCCAGCATTTCAAATCAGCATGGTTGGTTTGAATGATGAGGGAGGCGGATGGGAATTGTAATTCAGCAACCTCTTGAGGGGATCTTGTCGCCTGCCTACCAGAGCCTATTCCTGTAAGCCAAATATTCTAATACTTGGAAGGAAACACTTTTTAAAAAAAAATATTTAAAATTAGGGGCCATCCTATGAAAAGATTTGGTGGGATAGATAAGAAAAAAAATATAGTTACCGCTTTATAAGATTTGATGCCACAAGTTGTTATGGGATCTGATTTAGATGAATTTAAATTGAAATTGGATAAATTTGTGAAGGGCAACACCCCTATCTTTAAATAGTCTTTACAAATTTTCTGGTTGGCTGCTTTGAGGCAGAGGATGAATCAAGTTGGCTGGTAGAACTCTAATTGTCTCTTAATTGCATGTTTCAAATAGGTATTTATATGTTGTCCTGAATCGTAATTTAACTCATCTGCTGTAACTTACTGTCAGTGTCTTTCATCATTTTAGCCATAAACAGTAATGCAAACAAAATACAATACTTCGTATTGTTTTTATTTAGTTGTTTTTGAATGTTTCAGTTTAATAATGATTTTTAATTTTTCTTGATTACAGTAATTGGGATTGAAGAAAGTTAGATACGGTGTACAAGTAAGTGTCTTACCATATTGCAACATGTTTTCTTGGCTTTTTTAATCATATACTGTATAGAACTGATTGGGGGCTGAATGAGGTATGCATGGCCTGTGCCGTGTCTATTTTGGTTCCATACTCTGATTTGAGATATATATTATATTGAAAACATTGTGGATATTTTTATGCTCTTTGAATGATTTTGAATACTTAGAATTATGAACGACTGTTGGGGGTTTTTTGGCAGATGACCAGTTTAAAGACAATGGTAGATACATGAAGCTATAGAAAAGCTTAATGAACGTAATTGATTTTCAGTATGTTAAGATTCATGTTTCCTGTGTTAAAAAGAATGGCAACTGCATTTTACTATATTTAAGAACTCGGTGTCTACGCAATGGTTTACATACTTGGCATTGGATTTTCTGTATGGACATATCTCTACAATATAGTTACATGTACCCACACCATTCTTGCAACTGGAAATTAAGAAAAAGCATGCCTCACTCAGATATTTGAATGAGGGATTTGCTGCCTGCAAATGATACAAATTCATTTTTGAATGTACCTTCAACATAATGTTGAGGAGCATGAGCAGAATAAAGTGTTCACCTAAAATATTGCCCTTGAGAAAATACTGTCTTGGAGAAAGATAATGAAGGATTCGTTGATGCTTCTCATTCTTATAGATTTAGCATCTATATTAGATATTTTGCCTGAAGACACAAATTGGTTTAAAATATGTTTTCTTTATGTAAGGAGTTGGTGGTTGTCAGTTTCATTCATTTTAGCACTTGCAGAATAAATGGAAGAACATAGCATCTTAGTTTCAGTTTGTATTCTGTACCACTGATTTATCAAAATGTGAGAGAAACAGTTGAGAAGAAAGTGTTTTCAAGTCATCTGATCCAAAATTATGTTACACAGTGATTGATCAGTTTATCGTGAATGCTAAAATGACAGTGACAGCTCTCCTTCAGTGTAATATTTAAGTTCTGTCTAGTTTAAGTGCACAAGTCCATGACAACTATGCATCTGTGTAGAGCAATATTGTAAATTGGAAATGTATCTATTAAAAATAGTTAAGGGCCAGGCATTTAAAAAAGAAGTTTGCCGATGCCAACAGATTAATGAAAAGAAAACCTAAGAATCAGTGTCTGAAATTAGATATTTTGCTGTGATATGGGAACTTTTTACAATAGAATTGAAGTATTTTAGAGTTGCTATGATTAACTGCACTCTTTTGCATTCATGCAGAACAAAGATTCCAAGGTGAGTTTGGGCATCATGCTAAGCTTCTGTGTTTCTGTATGTTTAACAGTCATGCAAATGCGAGGAGCAAAATGCAAGTGAATGGGCTAAGTATGCTAATATTCAGCTTATTAATGATAAATTGAATTTCAATGGAATCCTATCTTATAAATGTATGCAAACATGGCCACTGACCAAAATATAGCTATATTTGCTATAGACACATTGGTCTACTTACGTGAGTTCTTCTATTAATCTGAATTTTACTACACCTTTAAATTAAATTCCATTCTCAGGGCTGAGGAATAGTACTTATCTTGGTTTACAGATAATAACATTGCTTAACTCATTGTAAGCCGCCCTGAGCCTCTGGAGAAGGACGGCATATAAATCAAATTAAAAAAAAAAAATAACATGGTTAGATTTAGACCAGTACAAATTAGTTTTAATTAAAAAGTCAGATAGCAAATTCTGTATGTGCTTGTACTATAGCTAAAATTACATATAGACACATGCTCAGTAATTGAGTCTGTTTTTACATTTTTGGGGAATTATTTTAGTGTAACATAGCTTTTTGTATTAAAATTACATTCCTTTGCCTTTAAATGGTTGAATATGGTTGAATGTAGATCAAGAAGTAGAAACTTATTTAATATGCTCATTTACTTGACAGTCAATTTAATTCATTTAACCTTATTTTCAAGTAAGTAAATAAGGGGTTGTGGCTCTTAAGAAACTGGTTCAAATAATTATATTGATCATTTGCACTACTTTTTGTGACCAAATTTAATATATTATAGGTAGTCATTGACTTACAGCTTGGCGATTGTTTGAAGTTACGACAGACCATCCAAAGGTATTTATGACTATGCCTTAATCTTACAGCCACTTCAGTGCCCTTGCCATTATTCACCCTTATGACCAACTGCAGGAAACTGCAATGCCCCCCTTCCCCCACAGCTATCTCCCTCACCTATCCTGTTGGGTCCCTGCAAGCCTCAGCCTACTCCAAAGCTTAGCTGTGCTCTGTTTATTTGTGAAGCCTTCTTAAAAAATCCCAGCAGTCTCTTGAGAAGTACTGCTTGCTTGCAGAATAGAATGAAGTTGCCATGAGGCCAGCAGCTTTATGAGAAAGCTGAGCCTTGCATGACATCAGCCAAGCTACTCTGCAAAAAGGTAAATTCACTGCTGTTGGGCCATGGAGCTGAATGTGGGGTAGAGTCAAAACTTGCAAGTGCCTGGAATGCTGGATAAGAAGTATCTTATGAGCCTAAAAGATTTAACAGCCTCTTGTTCTGGTGGCTTCTATTGCCCAGTTTTAGGCTGTCTTAAGTGGCCTGGCTGGAAACAGGTCAAGTCCTGCAAGTCCCTTGGGTTGCTGGATGGGAAGTAGTATGCTTGGCTCTACCTGCCCTTTGTGCACCAGTGGCTCCTTTAGGCTCCCTTCCAGGGCTGACTGGCCAGAAATCCCAAGGGACAGGGAGTGAAGCACCAGATGCTTCAGGGATGGCGTGAGGAGCTTGGGAGGCCCGGAGCAGGCAGATCTGGGCCTGTGCAAGGCCTCCAAGTGCCTTCCCCATCACTAGGGCACACAAGCTGTAACAGTGCATAATTACCAGTGTGTTTATTTAACAATTCATTGGGGAGAATAAGAATGGGAGATCAAATTAGATCTCCCCATCGTGAGTTAGCCATTGTGAGCTGCAGTTGTAAATGAGCAGGTTCCACTATGGTCATAAGTCGAGAATTACCAATGCTATTAGGTGATATGCTGATAACATTGAATCATTTACAGTAAAGAATCTGACGTTCAGCTGTATCCACCATTTCTTCTTGGTTTTTTTCATCACATTGAAATGAATTCTTATACAAGTTAACTTGGTGCTGTTTCCCAATTTTTACAGGAACCTTTTTCACCTATTGCAATGGGCTGCCGGGACGTTCATGCTGCGACGGTCCTAGCCTTCCTCTCTGGAACAGCTGCTTTATCAGGACTCATTGCAGCGGCACTGCTTCCAAACTGGAGACAAATGCGACTCTACACCTTTAACAAAAATGAAAAGAACGTGACGGTTTACACTGGGCTGTGGATTAAGTGTGTTCGCTTTGATGGGAGCAAAGACTGTGTCATTTATGACACTGAATGGTACATAGCAGTCGATCAGCTAGATTTGCGTGTCCTCCAGTTGGCTCTTCCCATTAGCATGTTGACCACCGTCTTGGCCCTTTTTCTCTGTTTAATTGGCATGTGTAACACCGCCTTTGTATCCACAGTGCCCAACATCAAGCAGGTCAGGTGCCTCATCAATAGTGCAGGCTGCCATCTTGTGGCCGGCCTTTTCTTTCTTCTTGCTTGTGTCACTTGCCTGATACCGTCAGTTTGGGTTATCTTCCATAATAGAGAGTTGAATCAGAAATATGAGCCTGTTTTCACCTTTGACATTTCTGTTTATATTGCTATTGCCAGTGCAGGTGGCTTATTATTTACAGCTATTCTTTTATGCCTCTGGTACTGTGCATGCAAGACTCTACCTTCCCCTTTCTGGCAGCCTCTATATTCGCATGCCCCTAGTGTGCACAGCTATGCCTCCCAGCCATATTCTGCGCGATCACGGCACTCTGCCATTGAAATTGACATCCCTGTGGTTACACGTACTTCTTAAAAGAATGGGTCAAGAAAGCCAAACATTCCTTTATGTATTCTCCCCTTATGCTACCCTGTTTTCCCCAAAATAAGACATCCCCTGATCCCCTAAGCTCAATCGGGCTTCTGAGCGCATGGCAATAAGGCCAAGCGCTTATTTCAGGTTTCAAAAAAATATAAGACAGGGTCTTATTTTCGGGGAAACACAGTAGCATTTACAAGTTAAGTGCTTTCCCACAGCTTAGCAACTTCTGCAACTATAGCAAGGGTGTGTGTAGTTTGGTGACTTTTACTTTCATTACCTAGATTGATAAGAAATGGGAATGAGCAGGCTGAAATACTAGAAGTGACTGCAAATTTTTAAGGACCTCTGAAACCAGCAGTTTTTGTAAGTTTATAGAAAATAACAAACTTTAGTAGGATCATCTTACTTTTACAGAACTCAAGCTTCTTCCATAAAATATAGTACTGAATAATGCTGTCATGCTGTTCGTCTTCCAGTATGTGAACAGTTAAGTACAGATAGTGCTCAACTTACAACTGTTTGTTTTACAATGGTTCAAAGTTACAATGGCCAGAAAAAATAATTTACAACCTGCACTTAATGTCTGGGACACCATACCTCTGGTCATGTGATCACAATTTGGTGCTTGGCTATTGGTTTGCATTTACGACTGGCTGCTGCATCCTGCAGGTACATGAGCACAATTTACTATCTTCCCAGCTGATTTAAATTATGTCCACTGGGCATGGTGGATCTGCTTAATGATCACATGAATTACTTAACTGTGGTTATTCATTTAACAATTGTAAAAATGGTTGTAAAATCCAGTCCATTTTATAACTGCAATAACTTACAAAGGAAATTCTGGTCACAATTATGGTCATACGTCAAGGACTTCTTATTCTTTTTACCAGACTACAGATAGTCCTCTATTGATAACCATTCATTTAATGACTGAAGTCTGCAGAAAGTGACTTATGACCGATTTTCACACAACCATTGCAGCATCTCCATGATTCATGATTTGGATGTTTGTCAACTGGTATGTATTTACAAAGGTTGAAGAGTCCCAGGGTCATATAATCAGCTTTTGCAAACATCTGACAAAGTCAGTGGGGAAGCCAGATTTAGTTAACAACTGTGTTTCTTAACTGCACAATTCACTTAACAACTGGCAAGAAAGATAATAAATTGGTGCAAAATTCATTTAACTTAGCAACAGAAACTTTGGGCTCAATTGTCATGTCAAGGACCTACTGTAGTATCTCTCTAATTTGAAACATTTGTATTTTAAATCTTTTCTTCACTGATAGTCATTTCTTATTTTTACAAATAATAAACTGATTTTGTCTGAAGCTGAACAGTACAGGTAGTCCTTGACTTACAACAGTTCGTTCAGTGACCCTTCAAAGTTACAATGGCAATGAAAAAAGTGACTTATGACCATTTTTCACACTTAAGACCTTTGCAGCATCCCCATGATCATGTGATCAGATTTCAAATGCTTGGCAACTGTTTCATACATATGACCGTTGCTGCATCCTAAGGCCATGTGATCAGCTTTTGTGAATTTCTCAGAAGCAAAGCCAATGAGGAAGCCAGATTCACTTAACTAACTTATCAACTGAAGTGATTCACTTAACAACCGTGGCAAAAAAGGTCATAAAATGAGGCAAAACTCACTTAAATGTCTTACTTAACAACATACATTTTGGGCTTAATTGTGGTTGTAACCTGAGGACTACCTGTAATCGTTTGACATTCAGTATGCAAAGTAATAGTTTATGTACACTTTCAATCCTGTGCCTATTGTGTTTCATTAGGCACATACAAAATATATTTGTCAACATTTTTTAATGTTTGTTAACTTTGTTCCTATGAAGATTGCCATTTCTAAAGAAGCATAATGCTAATTAGCAGGAGTAAAATTACATTGCCTAAGAAATATTTTGTTTTGTTAAAAAAAATGTTAAAACTTTTTTTTTTCAACAAAGAAAATTATGTAAAAGTTTTTTAGACAGAACATGTGAGTAATGTAACATCAATATCAGACTAGTCTCAGGATTGATTATGGAGGCAAAGTCAAAAGTGTTGATCAGATGGACTGCTATTGCCTAAGGGCTTATGCTACCATGATATATATCCTTTTATTATCAAATATTTTTATAACTAATGTGAATTTTTTCTTTATACTTAAAATAATAAGTATTCTAAATATTTGTTAACATAGAAGAAAATCTTCCTATTCTATTGAAAAATGCCTTTCTGATTTTAGATTTTTTTTTTTAAAGTAGAGAATTAAATTTATGGGCTACTTTTTATAAGTGGTTTCCTGAAAGCCATGTTCCAAATAAATTATACTGATATAGAATATTTTTATATAATATTACAGTTTTGAAGATGAGATTATCATTAAAAACGCTGTATTGTTACATGCATATTGGCTTGGTTGTAGATCCCACTTTGTTTTCTTATGCAGGAGACTATGCTTTCAGAAAGATTGTTTTTTTCCCATTTTGTGGTATTTACTGCTTTCTAAGTAGTACCAGAAGCAGATATGAACTTTAAAGTATGCTATTTGATCTCTTTTTTAAGCCAATAAGAATTTACAAAAGCTTTTAAACATATTCTGGAAATTGAATTAAATCTAGTATCTTTCTTATTGGCTTCTAAGTATATTACTTTTTAATTTACTTTAAACAGTAAAAGTAGCAAAAAATAATTTTAAAAAGCAAAGTTTTGTTTATGAGCTCTATTTCTTTAGGTAAATTATTGAAAATTGTTCTGCATTAATGTTTATTTTGCATTTACCATTCCAATTATATGCACATTAACCTGAGTCATTGGCCTTTTAACTGTTTTGAATCAGGAATTTCTCAGAAATGTTGGGTATGTAACACTCTTAACAGTGATATTTGCACTGTTACAACTAAAAATAGAATGTTAGAAAGGATTTATATTTGCACTTAACTGAAATTCATAAATGAGAAATGAGTACAATTTCCTTCAAATAGCTGCAGTTAATAGAGAATTACACAAAAAAAACAGCTTCAAAGTGCAGGGCACGTTTTAAGTTATGTGTTCTGTTAATGACAAACATATAACAATGCTTTTTGTTCAGTTCTCCCATTCAGGTATAATGTTTCTATTGTCTTTTGGACAATTTGGAAATCTTACAGAAATACAATAACTGCATTCTGATCATTTCCTCTTTTTCTGCTTCAAGTCTCATTTTACCAATGAGTAGGACTACGAGTGAGAAGCCTCAGATTAGTCTTAGAAGCTTGATGGGTGATTTTGAGCTAGTGACTCTTTTCTCAGGCAACCTACCTCACAGAGTTGTTTTTGCAGGAAAAATGAAAGGACGTCCTATGAATAATGCTTTAAGCTCCTTGTATAAAAAAACAAAGGAGGTATGAAAACAATTAGCATACAATATATCAGTTACATCATGCAATATAAATGATGGGGCTAATGTACTTGGCTTAAAGGCTCTGTTTTACCCTTTGTTAAGGATATTGTGTAGTAGTTAAGGTATCAAGGAGACCAGGAGACAGTGAGTTCTAGTCCCATCTTAAGCACAAAGCCAGCTGGGCTTTTCAGCCTTAGGAAGGAGGCAATGGCAAGCCATTTCTGAAATCTTGAAAATTGCAGGGACTTGTCCAGGCAGTTTCTGATAATCGGACACAATTGAATGTACACACACACACACACACACACTCACTATATTGATCGAGGTGGCATGGATATAGCCACATAGTCAGTGGAACTGTTTTCCAAAATAAATACTCCATTATGTACTCTGTACTCTTGTTAGCTCAAGTTCTCTGAAAGAAAGTATGTCAGGGTGATCCTTTGGGAGCTGGGTGAGTTTCATTGAGATGGTGGAGAATACACTTTTTATTATGGCTGGTGCTTTTAATATACGAAGAGGATGGCTTGGAGAATGCTTTCAAGGATTGCTGTATTTTAGTTTGGTCATTACTCCATAGGTAGCTGTTTTATATGAAAGCCATTTTTATGGATTTTAACTCAACGTATTGGGATTCTTCAAATACTAACTTACTTTTCTGGGGATAGCTTTTCATGGCCAGTTATCTGTTTAATAGTATTGAGCTTCAGGATTTAGTGATTGGTTTAGGGAACAGATTTCCTGACATTTTGCAGCAATTCTACCTAGCATCTTCAGAGACAAAGTTGTCTGCCACATGGACCGCAGGCAACTGTACAGGAGCTGACTGCTCCTGTTTTTATAGCCATACTGTTAATAAAGTTATATAAAACTATATAATTTTGTAATCTTTATATGTGTCCTGACTGACTATAAAGTCAAGAACCCGGTCAAATCTTGCTCAGTTACCTATGGTCTACATCACTAAATCTGAAGCTCAATACTGCCCATCTTGCTTTTCTGTTTTAAGAGTACAAGGCCTCTAAGCAAAATGAGAAAGTTACCATCAGTGCCAGCATGTTAAGTGGCACCAGAGTAATAGCTCTGTGCCCTCTGCCTCATCCTCCAGTTAACCACCTTAATATGGGTAGACAATATCCCTCACTGATGCTGAAGAAAAAATTGAACTGCTTGTCTAGTTGGATTTTGTATATTTTCTTAATGAAATATTTATTATAAATGGACTTTTTGACAGTGCTGACTGCTTGTGCATGCAGAAACTATTAAACTGTGACTTGGATATAACATTAATCTGTTTCTTTTGAATTTTATCTTGTCTGGCATGATTTAAATAGAGTAATTTTTCAAATACAAAATTTTGGATGTGAATCCCACCACTCATTTTAGAATAAAAATTATCTTTGTGTTGCATGGAAATGTATTTAATCAGAGTTGCCTACTGTGAAGAAATCTGGTTTTGACATTTAATAATATCTTATACTATAGTATATGTTTTTATGTAAAGTGTGTATTTTTAATTAAAAAAATAAAACATTATTTTGCAAAGGATGACAATATATTGTTGACATATAGAAAAGTCTTCTTCATTGTAATAGTACAAATTCCTGCTAAGATGAAAGATATGATTCACACTATGACTTAGTATACTATTATGAATTAGGCCTATATGTATCTCATCTCTGTCTTTCCATTTACTCTGCTCTTTTAATTCAGCTTTCCAAATTGGACCTTCCTAATTAAGTATTCTAGGTTTCCAAAGTATTCTCATTGGGCTTTTGGAGGGGGGAGGGAGTTAAAAGATAGTGGTTAAAGATTTGAAGAGGGAACCCGGTGGCTCAGCGGCTAAGATGCTGAGCTTGTTGATTGAAAGGTCGGCAGTTCAACAGTTTGAATCCCTAGTGCTGGATAACCAGGTGAATTCCCGTTACTTGTCCCAGCTTTTTTTTCATTTTTCATTTTATTAAATTTGTATACCGCTCTACTCCCAAAGGACTCAGGGCGGTGAACAGGCACAAAATAAAACACATAAATACAAAAGTTAAAAAACATAATTAAAACCAAATTAAATAATTTTGCCTGAGACAATTAAAATTCCCAATAAATTTAAAACAAATTAAAATTTCAATTTAAAATTTAAAAGAAAGACAGAAAATTAGGCCAGGCCGGCCTGCTGGAATAGGAGTGTCTTCAAAGCACGTCGGAAGGTGCGCAGATCCGGGATCCTCCGTATCTCCGGGGGGAGCTCGTTCCAGATAGTAGGTGCCCCCACAGAGAAGGCCCTCTCCCTAGGGGCCGCCAGTCGATATTGTTTGGCTGACGGCACCTGGAGGTTGCTAGGTTGCTTTTGCCAACCTAGCAGTTCGAAAACACATAAAAAATGCAAAAATAGGGACCATTTTTGGTGGGAAGGTAAAAGCGTTCCGTGCACCTTTGGCGTTTAGTCATGCCAGCCACATGACCACAGAGATGCCTTCGGACAGCGCTGGCTTTTCGGCTTTGAAAAGCAGATGAGCACCGCCCCCTAGAGTCGGGAATGATTAGCACATATGTCCAGGGGGAACTTTTACCTTTACCTTAAAGATTTGAAGATGGTTTTTACTGTTTAGCAACTACAATTGGGACAAGCAATTCAGTCATTAAGCAAAACAGTCACTAAGTGAAATCACAACTCATCTTAGGATCTTAAATCAGCTTTCCTTTGCTTTACTGACCTGTGAAGGTCATAAATGCCAGGATTGATTGCAAAGTTACTCATCAGTTGACTCCATCACTGACTATTGGGGGCGAGTCCTTGGCCCCCACAGAAAGGGCTCGCAATCTGGGAGTCCTCCTGGATATGCAGCTGTCCTTGGAGGAACATCTGACGGCTGTAACCAAGGGGACCTTTTATTAGGTTCGCCTGATTTGCCAGTTGCGGCCCTTTCTTGATCGGGATTCCCTGTGCACAGTCACTCACGCCCTCGTCATCTCTCGCCTTGACTACTGCAATGCTCTCTACATGGGGCTCCCCTTGAGGGGCACCCGGAGGCTCCAGCTGGTCCAGAACGCAGCAGCGTGGGTAGTGATGGGAGCAGCATGGCGCTCCCATGTAACACCGCTCCTGCGCGAACTGCACTGGCTCCCGGTGGTCTTCCGGGTGCGCTTCAAGGTGTTGGTTATCACCTTTAAAGCGCTCCATGGCATAGGGCCTAGCTATCTTCGAGACCGCCTGCTGCTACCGACGACCTCCCAGCGACCCGTGCGCTCCCACAGAGAGGGCCTCCTCAGGGTGCCATCAGCCAAACAATGTAGGCTGGTGACCCCCAGGGGGAGAGCCTTCTCTGTGGGGGCATCTACCCTCTGGAATCAGCTGCCCCCAGAGATAAGGAGAATCCAAGACCTCAGTGCCTTCCGCCGTGCCCTTAAAACCCACTTTTTCCAGCAAGCCGGGCTGGCTTAGGAAGAAATTTTTTTAAAAATTTTAAATGTTTAATTGGTTTGTGGTTTTTTAAATTTTGGGCCAAATTTATATAGATTTTAATTGTTTTTAATATTTGTATTTCATGTTTTTAATTCTGGCTGTGCACTGCCCTGAGTCCTCAGGGAGAAGGGCGGTATATAAATTGAAAAATAAATAAATAAAAAATAAAATATCACAGATCTAACTGAACAATTGCTAAAGATTTGTAGACTTATGACCACAATTGGGCATAGAATCACAGTCATTTGTATGAAGCGATTGTAAAGCAAGGCACGTCATAGATTCACTCAATTACCACAACCCCAGGACTCCTAATTGTGGTTGCTAATTGAGCTTATGGGTCAGTAAACAGATGGGAATCAGGATCTTGGATGGGCCTTCTCCAAATCAGCTTTCAAAGAATCACAAAAATGGAGCCTGGTTGGGGAATGGCAAAAGGTGGCAAGAAGGCCACACTTTGTATAGACTGGGTGTGTCAGCTGAAAAAAACCTGAAGTTAAATGGGACTGATCTGGTGGGCTGAGCAGGTTTCCATAAGCTATGGTCCCGGAAGCCAGCTTTAATTGCACAGACTGCTGAACTAGATTGATGATTGAGATGGGGAAGGGGTTGGAGATAGGTTGGTGCAGGAAGTTGCAGGACTCTTGTTTGCTGCCTAACACCCAAAATTTGTTCACATGTCCACAGCATTAGTGGGTTCCTTTTACCTTTGCTACTGGTTTGGAACTAGGAGCTCGCGCACGACATTTGTGCATGCGCAGAACCTTCTGCGCATGCACAGAGCATCCGTGATGACGTCCAGGAGGGTGGGCAGAGCCTCCTGCCGCTACCACTACCGTTCTCCCGAACGGGGGCAAACCAGTAGAAAGCCACTACTGGTCCACAGGGATGCCATAACTTTGGGCACAGGTCACAAGTCCCTTTATTCAGCACCATCATAATTCCAAATCATTGCTGAATTAACAGTTGTAAGTTCAAGACTTATCTGTGCTGAATTCTCCAGCATTTCCTTAAAAATTGTAAGGTGGTAAAAGAGGTAAGGTGGCATTTTAGTGGTAACCTAAAGAGCTTGCGCTAATCGACAATTAGCAACCTTGTTCATATTTCCTTCAAAGTAACTCCTGTGATTCGGAAAAGGAAAAAAAAAAGATTATAGCCATATAGGTTGAGAATCAATAATTGAATTTCTTTATAAGGCGCTAGCAAAGTGTTTGAAAAGAATTAGATAACCTGAAAATTCTTTTAAGCTTTTTTGGTCTAGTAAGCTGTTAAATGAGATGAGACCTTGCGTGAGGTATGAAGTTTACTCACATCAATCTCAGAGATCAAGTGCTGAAAGCATTGCATTAGACAGAGGTCTTCAAACTCAGCAGCTTTAAGACTTGTGGACTTCAACTCCCAGAATTCGAAGCACGAAGAGTTTCTCAAACACTGCTACGACTTTAAGAGGAACGCACTTCAATTCCCGGAACCACCATACTGGCTGAGGAATTCTGGGAGTTGAAGTCCATCCTTCTTAAAGTTACTGAAGGTGAGAAGCACTGCCCTATAGAAATACTTCATACAACACCCCTCCCTCCCTCTCTCTTCATTGCTAGAAACGGCGCGGCGACCCGAACGCGCGCGAGAGGAGAGGGGAAGAGGGGAGGGGGAACACAATGCATCAAGACCACGTGGGAGGTGCCGAGCGTTCTTATTCGCCGGGAGTCCTGGGCGTTGCCCAACGCGGTTAAGAAGTGCGCTTGCGCGAATCGGGAAAATAAGTTCTCCCTGAATTCTATGGGAGCAGGTGGGCGGAGTAGTGCGTGGCTTGTCTGCTTTGCGTTGGGCGAATTGATGGCGGCGACCATGGCCTGCTGGCAGCGTCTCTGGACTCTGGCCGTACTGTGCGTTTTGCTATGCTGCTGCCCGACGATGGGACTGGACACGGTGCCCTCTACGTCGCCTCCGCTGACTCCTGCTCCATGTAAGCAAGGAGCGGTTCTGTCTCCCTGTTCGAGCCGGGCGCGGGGTGTAGGGGGTGCATTGCGGGAGGGAGCGTGTCCCGCCGCTCAGGCTCGGCTTCCTTTCCCGCCTCACGTGCAGCTTTTCGGCGGTGGGGAGAGACGCTTTTTCCCGTCCCCCTTCCCTCGGCGTCCATATTTCCAGGGTCCTTTCAGGAGACCGGCGCATCTCTCTTTCCCCCTTCTGCAAGAGAAGCGTCTTTTGCAGACGTGGGGAGAAAGTCAAGCCCCGTCCTAATGGCTGGGCATTTTGGGAGTGGCAAAACTGATAGCCCCGGAGATGACAAGGGTCAGGAACTCAGCCTCGGGGCGCAAAATCTTTTAGTACCTTAGCAGAGTCGCCTCGCCCCTGGGTGTCTTGTTGGGCGTCTTTAAAAAAAATAATCTGCTATAATCGTACTAAATCCCCTTCTGTCTTTTACAGATGAACATCTTTTCCAGTAACCTGGTTTTATCATTTGCTTTTTGACCTAAAACATTTCCTTGGATGCAGTTCCAGCTCTTGTATTGTTTTCCACACCACCACCCCCTCAGACTTCTGTGGCTTCCTCTGTTTACTCCACAACCTCCATGAACCTGTAGTATTCTCAAGCTTAATTAATCAATCTTAATTTCATTGAGCATTAGATGGTTATAATTAACACTTAGAATAACCTGGGCCTTCAAGGTTCGGTGCCTTTTGTTGTTTTTTTTAAGAGGTTGTAGAAATGACATTCCTCTTTAGCTGAAACTCCTACAGGAGCTACCTGATTTTATTGCAGGTAGCACTTCCTATATTTTTCCACAAAATGCCTTAGAACTGAATTAGACAAGGTATTATGGATTTGAAGTGGACTTTATTGTAGGTATTTTAAAATGTAAGATCAAGCATATGAGCCACTTTAGGACTAGTTGGAGGGATTTTATTTACCTCTCAATAACATTTCTAAATTAAAATATCTCTAAAGGTGCTGTTTAGTCATAGTATGAGAGAGTTAACCATTTTACGTTCTAATTTATTAAAGAGCTGATTTTTATTTTCTAGTAATTTGTAGTTTATTCAACCCTAATAGATTTTAGGGTTGAATAAAATGTGAATTTCGAACATTTTTCTTTTGAGATGATGGATTAGGACAAAGAACACTAATTGTCACAGTCATTTGCCTAAAAGGTCTATAACACTGAAGCCTTTTCATACATTGGTACAAAAGTCTCCAAGGTCAATGAATAGTTTCACAGTATGTCATTGAACTAAATGTATTAAACAATTTATTGAAGAACACCATTTGCTGTTTCACTTCGGTTCCTTATCTTGCAAGATTTTATATTAATCACAACAATATTTAGTTTGGTTGCAATTGAACAACAAAATATTAAAAGTGAATACAGAATAAAAGTGAAAAAGTAAGCTAAAAGCACAACAGGAAAAATAAAAAAATATACACAGAATGACTTCTGATACTCTTCACAGCAGTTATAAGAAAAAAGTTATATTTTAACATCTCTTAAATTATGATTTTTTTTCTATAATTATCAATAAATAAAAGTGTTACTAGCAATTAAGGCAATTTAAACTTACTTGTGTTTTTTTTTATTTTGAAAATGTTTTGTTTCTCATCCAAGAAACCTCTTTAGTTCTAGAAGCTTCTTGGATTGTAAATGAAATGTTTTCAAAAGAAAAAAAAGTCCAGTTGTTTTTTGGAAAAAGCACCTAGGGATTCTGGAGAGACGGCTCTGAGAACAAAGCAGCAGGATACAAGGGGGAGAGTGGAGCTGGTAGGGGCTGCATACAGAGTGTAACCACCATCTTTTATTGCTTGGGTAAGATGGTATTTTACTCTCCCTTGCATAGAGAAACATGTTCCACATTGCCAGGATTTCCTAGTAGATACCACAAAAAAAAAAAAAATCCTTTCAGCTTGTGCTCTTTTCCCAAAGCAGTCTTGCTTTAGTACTCCAATTAATGACTGTAGAGGGCAAAGGTGATCTAAATGGCTTTGTCTCTGTCTGCCTCATCCTGCCCTTTTGCTCCCAGTGTGGCACCAGTGGAAGGATGCTCTGGGAAGGTGGCAAGCAGATTCAAATCTCTGCTTCTCTGCAACCACTTTGGCTGTACATCAGTCCTTAGTTCAGTTAATATGGGTGTCAGTGAAACCTGATCTAGAGGTCATTTAAAGTGGCTTGAGTTTTTTATAGTTAAAAGTGTGTGTTGGTCAGGACAGGGAGGAATTTCAGAATGAAAAAAGGCATGTTAATCTGTCTATGACATGTGGCAGATGCAGTCCACTTTTATGTTACTCTGTAGTTTTTGGGTCACAGTACGTTTCTGCAGAAGTTTCCATTTAAAATAAATATATCTCAACTATTTAAAACACCCAAGCAAAATGTTGTAAAATGTGTAAATGTAAGTTAGTCTTTAATGATTTTACAAGGAAATTTTCCTGAAATGGTTGCAGTTCTTAAGACTATTCTATAGCTAAAAAAAACCACAAGAAAATGCTGCTTACAAGATAAATGTTTGTAAATACTATTTTAATTTTATTCTAGTTATTGGTTTTATATAATACTACAGATATACATTGAATATGCTTTGCAACTTAGCTTTGAGCATATTTATTATATTACAATATTGGAATTTATTATAAAGTGTACTTTGCTATTCAATCACAGTGCTTTATTTAGGTGTACTTGGAATTTATATAACAAAAGGCTTTCTAAAGCCTAGCATCAAGAAAAGCATTCGCTTTTGAAGTATTTATACATATTTGATTCATTCTGAAATTTTGACTTTCTAGGTCTAGGATTCTTTGCTTCTGTATCTATACATTTTTGTCAGAAAATTTACAACCTTCCGATTTAAACTTTACCATGCAATTATTATTATTTTTTTCTGCAGCATGTTCTGTTTTTACTGGAATGAAATGTGAAGCATGTATAAAAAATACTGCAGTAAGTATTTTCATTTTTATTTAACCAAGGGAAAAATTTAAATATTTTTACTGTATTTTATGGGCAGGGACATAATTTTTTTTAATGCAAACATTTTTTGTTTGATATCGGTAAACAATAGGTCACTGGCAACTATAATACAACAACATTTAAGTCAGTGACTTAAAAATTTTCAGCCTACAGTGGTGGGCTTATGTGAATAAAAGAGTCAGACTGCAGAGAATATAAAGAAGACTGTGCCATATTTCGACACTGAGGGATATAGATAAGAAATCCAAATTTTCAAAGAGGGTGCAGCTGCAAGGAGAGTACAAAAGGTTTGAGATCTGGCTGGCTATAAATTATGAATTTGTATTTCTGCCCCACTCAGCAGTTGTCAGCTCTCTGTTATGGTTACCATTCCCTAGAATACAGTAAAGATGCAGTTTTGAGTTACGTTTCTTTTTATCTCTGGTAGTTGACAGCTTCCTGCTGAGTTTTCAAATGTAAGGAAGATGTCATAAATATTTGGAAAAAGAAAGCTATTTCATAGATGGGAATAAGCCATTGTTTGGTAACTGAAACTTCAAGTTTATTCTTCCTGTGTGGGCTTCTAATCCCTCTTTTGAAATTGTGTTAAATCACAATTTCAGTTTAACCTAGTTGATTGTACAAGTTGTGATTTGTTACCAAATCTTAATATATTTAATTATACATGAAGGCAAACTGTAAAAAGTCTGAAAGGAAGGGGGGGGGAATCAAGGACTGAGATAAATATGAGTTTGTAAATGATTTACTAAACATGGTTTGTCATAACATGAAAGAAAAAAATTGTTTCTCAATTCTATAAACAAATGTGTTTAATGTGCAACACATTTTATAACTGAAATAAATGTGACTACTGGTAATCCTTGACTTACAACTGGTTACTTTTGATCTGATTTTGAAATTACAATGGCTGCAACCCTCCCACAGTCACATGCTCACATTTTGGGTGCCTGGCAGTTGGCTTACCTTTACAGCCATTTACAATATCCCACAGTCACGTGACCATGATTGTCAGTGGTCTTTGTTAGTTTTTAGATTTTACTTTCAACAAAAAATACCCATTAGGTAGACTGGATTCGCCTAATCACAGTGTTACCTTTGGGAAAACAGAATAACAGAGTTGGAAGGGACTTTGGAGGACTTCTAGTCCAACCCCCTGCTTAGACAGGAAATCCTACACCACTTTAGACAAATGGTTATTCAATATCTTCTTAAAAACTTCCAGTATTGGAGCATTCACAACTTCTGGAGGCAAGTTCTTCCACTGATTAATTGTTCTCAATGTGGGAAAATTTCTCCTTACTTCTAGGTTGCTTATCTCCTTGATTAGTTCCACCCACTGATTTTTGTCCTCTGGTGCTTTGGAGAATAGCTTGCCTCCCTCTTCTTTGTGGCAGCCCCTGAGATATTGGAACACTGTTATCATGTTTCCCCTAGTCCTTTTCATTAAACTAGACATACCCAGTTCCTGCAGTCGTTCCTCATATGTTTTAGTCCCCTAATCATCTTTGTTGCTCTTCTCTGCACTATCTCTAGAGTCTCAACATCTTTTTTACATCGTGGTGAACAAAACTGGATACAGTATTCCAAGTGTGGCCTTACCAAGGCATTATAAAGTGGTATTAACACTTCATGTAATCTTGATTCTATCCCTCTGTTTATACAGCCTAGAACTGTGTTGGCTTTTTTGGCAGCTGCTGCACACTGCGGCTCATATTAAATGGCTGTCCACTAGGACTCCAAGATCCCTCTCAGAGTTCTACTATTGAGCAAGGTACTACATATACTGTACCTGTGCATTTTGTTTTTCTTGCTTAAAAGTAGAACCTTACTTTTTCAACCATTGAATTTCATTTTGTTAGCACCCAACCTAACATTTTGTTAGTGTCCAACCTTAACAACTATCTCTTTGTTTAATGAGCACAATGTTTGCTTAACAACTGCAACAAAAGTTGTAAAATTGGGTCCAGCCATGTGATAATCGGGTCAACAATTGTAATGACTTATGACTGTGAATTCTGTGAACAATTATAGTCATAACTTGAGGACTACCAATATTGTGTATTTTTAAATTAAAAATTAATCTCTTGGCATGAATTCATATACTGGGGATTTCATGCCCAGGTGAATTCTGATAATGGCTTAAAATCAATATTGATTTTTGTTTCACTTTCCTGAATTTGGATTATGAACTGTTCATGTATAAACACTTGTTTAGTTGAGATCATATTTAGTTTTTTTAAAAAAAAAATATTTCAGAGGAATAATAAACTTTTACACAGAATGGCTTAATTTGTAACAGTGACCTTATTATTTGTCTACAACATTTATCCCAATAGTTTTCTCTTGTTGTATGATAGCCATTTAATTAAAGATTCTTCGGTTCTTTTGCTATAGTGAGAACTTTAGATTCAGCAAGAAAAGAACAAAAGTGAGGCTGAAACCCGAATATATTAGAAGAGAGAGACAGTGACAAAGCAGACGAGAACATCTTTGATAAAAGAGGGTGGGAAGGCAGAATACTGCCAGCGAAGCAAGAGTCACATCATGTTTCATTAATTTGATTGTGTGTGAAGGAATAAGAAATTAGGATATGAAATTGTGGAAACTCAGTAATGCCAAATTCTCCTCATTCATTGTGGCTTCATTAAGGCAGGGTCCTTGAGTTGTTTGACCCGTTTTTTTCAGGAAGCAGAACAGAACAGCTAATTGCCCTCTTTGCAGAAAAGCCTGGCATTGCAACAGCCAAGTAAACAGCCATTACTTTGTTAGTAATGTTTTAAAATGTTCCCCTTTCTTGCTCAGCCCAAGTTAATTATTTTATAGATATAAATTCATAAAAGAGTATAGAAAAAGGAAAGAAAACTGATAAAGTTTTCTGATACTTCCAGTCCCAATTTTCAAATAAAAATGGTATCTATGCACCCTGAATTTTTTCAGAACACGTACCTTCTAAGCCATATTGAAATTGTTAAAGCAACATAAATGTTTTAGAATCACTAAGTCCTAAATTCCGGGGATGTTGAGTTGTGTTGATAATTGGATGATAAATGCAGCAGGGAAATTACTACAGCCCTGCCAGCATTGTTCTTAGGAAAGATACATCTGGATTTTATCATAGCAGTGTTCATAAATAAAATCGTTCAACGGAATAATTTTATAAGTAAAGCCAGTATAAAGATTCTGAATTCCTGGGAAATTACATTTTTATTTCTTGCTCAGATTAATATAAAATGTATTTTCAGCTACCAAGATAAAGAATGGGAAATAATATGTTGTCAATTTACAACAGAAATGGAGCTTGCCATTATGAGCATAAGTCATGACAGTTGTAAAGTGATAATCATTTGGTTAACCAGATTTTACAACTTTTTTAATGGAAATTCTTAGGTGCCTTGCCATAAATATTAAGCAAACACAGCATTCATTCAGTGAATGCTACAGTTGTTAAGTAAACCCATTATTTGCTGTGGGGTGATTTTGCCAAAAACTGGAAGTAAATGCTGATTTTTGGCAAAAGTGTAAATTACAGACACTGCAAATGGCGGTAAATGGGAACTAGTTGCTGAAACCCAAAATGTAGTCATGTGATCATAGGGAAGGGGGCCTGGCTGTCTGAACTTTGCAACTTGTAACTTTTAGGAGTCCATTGTAACTTTGAACATTTGCTAGTCATAAGCTGAGGACTACTTGCATTTTTAAAACTCTTCTGATTAATTTAAGGAAGTTGGCCTGAAATAAATCAAATACAAGTAGTCCTTGACTTACAATTGTTTTAAGAACAATTTTAAATTGTGACTGGAAAAATGTGACTTATGACCAGTTTTCACTCATGTGTGTTGCAGTGTCCCAGTTCCAGTCACATGATCAAAATTTGGGTGCTTGGCAACCAGCATGTATTTACAATAATTGCCAGGTCCTGGGATCATGTGATCACTTTCCCAGAGGGTTTCCAACAAGCAAAGTCACTGGGGGAAACTGAATTCATTTAATGACCAGAGGGATTTGCTTAATAATTATGGTGATTCACTTAATGGCTCCAGCAAACAAGATTATAAAACTCTGTGCAATTTAATGACTACTTTGCTTGGTGAAGAAGTTCTCATCTTACCTGTGATGAGTCAAGGACTACCTGTAAGGTAAATGTGCTAGCTGTTATAGCTTGCTAACCTTTAAAAATGGTATCTTGGTAAATCAAGATGAAATATGGCATAATTTCATTCAATCTGTACAAAACATTCATGGGACAAAACATTTCCTGCCATAACTGATACTTTGTTATAGTTTTACGGTCCTGGACTTTATATCAAGAAATTCCAAATTTTAGTCCTCTCTAAGGTATGAACACTGGTTGGGTTGATTGAGTCAGCCACTCTCAGCCCAATCTGTGTCAGAGGGAGGTTGGGAAAATAGGCAAGAGTATTATGTAAGCTACCTGGAATAGTGCAGTAAAAATGGGGTGTAAATATTAATACGTAATGAAGAAAAAATTAAGCTTTAAGGATTTATACAAATCAAATTGCCGTTCTGGTGGCTTTTCCTGGTACTGATAATGTTGTAAAAGCATTGGTGATAATCTTGATAAAACTGCTGATTTAATAATAAGCTTGGTTCATACTTCCTGATAAACTTGTTTTTATTTTCATTCTTTTTCCTCACAGTGTCTTTGGTGCAGTGAAAATTCTACTTGTTTGGATTATCCTGTAAACAAAATCATGCCACCATCATCGTTGTGTTCACTTACAAAGTCTTACTGGGCAATATGTTGGGGTATGTAATCTTGTATATATGTTAAATTAGCACAGGCCAGAACATAATTACAATGTCTTTATGGAGGAACATTTAGTTCACTGTCTCCTGTGAGATGGGATCGCTGTTTGTTTATTTGGGAAAAAAATATGGCTATCAGTATTGTGTAAAACACCATAGAGAGTTAATAAACACACAGTTTAAAAAAAACAAAAGATTATAACACTTAACACATCAGTGCCATATTAGTATCTTCTTAAAAAATACTACAGAAGTCTCCTATCTGCATCTGATGGAACAGCCAGATCTTAATGGCCTTTCGGGAAGCAAGAAGGGTAAAGGTCTTCCATATTTCAGGGGAGAGGCTGTTCCATAGGGTAGATGCAGCTATACAAAAATTTTGCTTCCTAAGACCTGCAAGGTGACCATATTTAATAGTGGGGACCTGGCGCAAATTCACTCTAAGCAATCTAATGGAATGAGTAGCTGTCCTCATGAAGAGACTGCCCCTCAAATAATCTGGTCCCATGCCATATGGGACTTTACAACTAATAATAGCACTTTAAATTTCACGCAATAGAAAACTGGGAACCATAGCAACTCACACAATAGAGATGTAATGTGGGCAAATTATAGGTGTCCCAAAAGGCATGCATTGCTGCATTCTGAACAAGCTAAATTCCATGTAGTCTTCAATACCAGCAGTATGTAGAGCTCATTACAGTAATCCAAACAAAAATCAGTGACCATGAAATAGGGTCTCATGATCCAGAAATAAGCCCAGTTGGCATACAAGATTAATTTGTGCAAAGGTCCCCTTAGTTACAGCTGCTGCTGTTCCTCAAGCAGGAGCTACAACTCCAGGAGGATCCCCATGTTGTACACTACCTTTGACTGAGTAAGTGGTACCCTATCAGGAGTGAAAGATAATTTTCCAGAGAGATGCTTATCATCCTCAACAACTTTCCTAAAAAGGAAAAATTGTTGATGGATGATTGTTGCCCAACAAAATAGGGTCCAAAGAAGGCCTCTTGAAAAGAAGTGAATTACCACCTCCTTTCCCACAGACATGCATTAACCTCTTGGACCTCATCATGTGCAGGAGAGTCATGGGTTCAGAACAAAGGTGGCAGATCTCACACAACTACAGGGGCTCTGTCCACTTCTTCAGGACCAATTAGCTAAAAGTCCACACTTACAGATTACAGATTAACAGAGTGGTAGGGACCTTGTAGGTCATCTAGTCCAACCCTTACCCAAGCAGGAGACCCTACACCATTTCTAACAAACGGCAGTCCAATCTCTTCTTGAAAGTCTCAAGTGATGAAGCTCCCGCAACTTCCGAAGGCAACTTCTGTTCCATTGGTTGGTTGTTCTCACTGTCAGAAAATTTCTCCTTATTTCCAAGTTGAATCGCTCCTTATTCAGTTTTCATCCATTATTCCTTGTCTGGCCTTCAGGTGCCTTGGAAAATAGCTTGACCCTTCTTCTTTGTGACAGGCCCTCAAATATTGGAAGACTGCTATCATGTCTTCCCTGGTCTTTCTCTTCACTAGACTAGCCATGCCCAGTTCCTGTAATTGTTCTTCATATGTTTTAGTTTCCGGTCCCCTAATCATCCTGGTTGCTCTTCTCTGCACTTTTTCTAGAGTCTCAACATCTTTTTTATAGTGTGACCAAAACCAGATGCAGTACTCTAGGTGTGGTCTTACTAAAGCTTTATAGAGTGGCATTAGTACCTTACTTGATCTTGATTGTATTCCTCTGTTAATGCAGTTTAGGATTGCATTGGCTTTTTTCACAGCCGCTGCACACTGCTGGCTCATATTTAGCTGGTTGTCCACTAAGACGCCAAGACCCCTCTCACAGTTACTGCTATTAAGCCTGGTTTCACCCAGTCTATGTGTACTTTCGGTTTTTCTTGCTTAAGTGTCGGACTTTACTTTTTTCTACATTGAATTTCATTTTGTTAGGGCCCAGTGTTCAAGTCTATCTTCAAGGGTGTTAGCTCTTCCTACCAGCTTAGTATTATCTGTAAATTTGGTATCAACCCAGGTAATGTAGCAAAACTATTTTCCCAGTCACTTCATAGGACCTACACAACTGGAGTTCAACCTAGAGCAAATCAAAGAGACTTTACCCAATAGATGCCCAGAAAAACCTTCACAGCAGCTCTGCAAGAGTTCCCCTAATTGTTCTTGTCAAGGAAATATCTGTCATCCAAAACAGCTGTTGGCTGTAGCAAAAGTGGAGAAATACACTCTCTTCACTGTTCTAATCACAACAAGGAAAACTCTGATAAAGATTTTCACCTGCATTTAGCTCTGTTTTTCTTCAGGGCTGCTCAAGAGATGCCTATATAATTTCATATCTCTGTATGTCATGGAATTCTATATTTTATATGTTTCAGTTCTCGTGGATTGTATCTCTCTCTCTGTATATATATATATATATGAACTTGAAGTACAGACTGAGTTGTACCATATGCTCTGCGCTGGACCATGTGATCAGGAATGTGACAAGTTTAAAATGGAACAGTCAGCATTGGGATGCACTGAGGTTTATTTATCTCTGCGACCTTTGGCCTGATCCAGCTTGTTTCCAAACTCAGTCATTCTTTTGCCAACTTCTTCCCATACCAGATCTGATCTAGTTCTGTTCTCTTTTCCAATTACCCTGCTAACAGATGAACAGACACAGACAGACTCCCAACCCCCCTTAATTTCCTTCCAACTTTCCATTAATTTAGAAAGGATGTAAAGACTGCACCAGAGGTGAAAAGATGAAGAATGATCATGCAGCCTGGGTTCTCCGGAGTATTTCCATCACAATGAATTCTATGTAATATTTATTGTGATATCAAAACACAGCTAATAAGGTTTTTTTGGCATAAATGTGAAACATGAAGAGATAATGTATTCAGTGCAGGAAAATAGTTTTGTAATGACTAAATGTGGAAAATCTGTCTGATATTTGATGCAATTCTTAGGTTTAGCAGGATGCCCTCATAGTCTGCGCCCCCTTTTTTTTTTCGACACCGAGGAAAGAACCTTGTCCTGTATTCATCCCAGCTATGGAGCATGCCCTCTAACATTTTTGATCACACTCTAGATTTTTAGAAAATTTGTAAGGATGCATTGCTTTTATTTGGCTTTCAAATGTTAATATGATCCGTTAATAATTTTAAATTATATTTTTTCAATTTTATATTCAGTATGTGTCTATAGTTTTGTTAACCACCTTGAAGGCTCTTCATAACAGAAATATTGGCTGTAAATTGAATCTTACGAAAGACAAATATTGTTACATCTATAAATGACTGTTTTATAATGCATATTGGAATTACATGATATTCGTCTGGTTTGTGAACTACATTCCCCATAGGGTGGTTTGTTTTCAGCTTGGTGTGATATGCAGATTGTTCCACTGGTTTTTATAAACTTCGTATTTTTTGAGGGGGATGTTCTGTGATTAGCTAAAGACAAACAAATCGTATTATGGCACAGCATTAAGTATTAACTATAGTTCCATTGATTACGTAGTCGTTTTCATTTTTGCATCTCATGACATCTTCCTATTAATGTGTAGTAGGTGATAAATGAACACATACTGTCCTGATATATGGATTATGAAAAGTGGGCAACTGCGCAGTCAAAAAATATTAAACTATCTAAATTTAGCAAATAGATATTGTAGTGATAGATCTGCCTTTTTACCAGACAGGTACATAACAGTGCTTTAATAAGAGTGTGACTGTAAGCATAATGGACATAAAACACTTTTTTCCATGACAAACTCTTCTAATGGCTACATTTTCTACCTTTTCTAACATTTTTTTACTTCTGATTTCCAGCAAGTTTGGAAGCAATCATCATCACTATAGGTGTTGTAGTCGGCATCATTCTGCTGTTCATAATTTGTTGCTGCTGTTATTGCTGCCGCAGATGTCGCCGGCGTTCCGAAAGGTACCCATACTTTCTAAATAGATTTTCTTGATTCCAACAAGCAAATTCCGTGGGGGAAGCCAGATTCGCTTAACAACTTAACTTAATTCACTTAACACTTTAAGTGTTAACAAGAGGTCATAAACTTAACAAGAGGTCATAAAATTGGGGCCAAACTCAGTTAACCATCTGCCTTGCTTAGCAACAGAAATTTTGGGCTCAATTGTGGTTGTAAATCGAGGACTACCAATAATGACCCTATTTATAAGCTGGAAAGAAAAAAATGAAATGAAAAAATGAAAAACATAATTAGGGACAACTTGAATAAGGAAATAGCACCTTGAATAATTATCATCTTGAATTCCCAGAGAAAATGCAACAAATATAATGAAATAATATTAGACCTGAACTCTAAGCATGATGGATTATATTACACACATAGAGGTCTCTCTTAGCATCTTCCAGACTTTCCCTACCTGAATAATTTTTAGAGAGTCTTTATATGTAATGCACACCTCACTCCCAATTAAGTGAAAAATTATAAAACTTTTAGCTAACATGCTTTTTATTTCCAAGGATATCCCTGGAGCCTTTCTGGACCTCATAGGAATTTTAGAAAATAAAATAATGTGTGATCGTATCTGTCCAACAAAAAAAATCTTTAAAATGTAAAAATGGGACTTAAGATTGCAGAAATTTACCACATTTGATTTATCTATGACACATTTTAAAGCTGTGAGTAATTTTATATTTGGCAGAGGCTAGATATTGTTTGGAGCATTTTTTTTTTCTTTGTTCCAAATGCATGCAAGATAATGCATATTTATAAAGTAAATATGTTATTACATGACACTGGGTGGTTTACAACAAGATTAAAAAACCACAACAATAACACTGTGCAAGAATATTAAAACTGATCATAGCATGGGAAATTAAGCCTTAGTAGAATATTGATGGCCATAATTATCCTAGAGAAGACAAATGTAATTTTTTCCATTAAAAAAAATCTATTATCATTTTTCAGAACTGAATATTATTTTTACAAAATATTATTTTTTGTCTAATCTAATAAATTTTACAAAATATTATTTTTGTCTAATAAATCCACAAGTGTGTAATCTTTTAGTAACGATATTAAACCCCATAACGTGGTACAGATATTGTTTTTCAGGGCTTGTCGGTTTAGACTAAATAGACTGAATTTGATATCGCCTTGAATTTTGGGGCTATAGGAGATAGAATGCAGTTATCCCCTCTTCCTTTCAGTTAAGCTGTGAAAACACCTTATGCATTAATCATCTTTTTAAAAGCTTCCTGAATGGATCTCTCAAGATGAACTCTGTGGTAGCACTTGGATTACAGGTAGTCCTCGATTTACAATAGTTGATTTAGTGACTGTTAGAAGTTACAATGGCACTGAAAAAAGTGACATGACCATTTCAGCATCCTGATAGTCACGTGATCAAAATCCACATGGTTGGCAACTGACTCATATTTATAACTATTGCAGTGCCCTGGGTCATGTTACCATCTTTTGCCACCTCTGAAAAGCAAACTCAATGGGAAAGTCAGATTCACTTAACAACGATATTACTAACTTAACAACTGCAGTGATTCACTTAACAACTGTGGCAAGGAAGATTGTAAAATGGGGTAAAACTCATTTAACAAATGTCTCACTTGGACTCAATTGGGGTTATAGGTCGAAGACTGCCTGTACTCATTCAATTGTCCTTATATGGAAGTTGGCCCTAAAGAAAAAACATGTAATATACAGGTAGTTGTTGATTGACAACTACTTGTTTAGCCACTGTTTGGTGCTGAACAAACTGTTTATGACCAGGTCTCAAAGTTTTGGCCATCCCACCATCCCAGTGTGATCACAATCTGGGCAATTGGCAACTGGTTAACACTTAAAATAGTTGCTGCATCCTGCAGCCATGCGATTGCTATTTGCAATCTCCTCTTCTAGCTCCCGACAGTCAGAATCAATGGGGCAGCCAGTTGGGAAGAGACCATAAAGGAAGGTCTAGCATGCACTTGCACAGCACAGCAGGGCCCTCCCCTCCATATCCTGCATACACTCGCCACAAACCTCCCACCTTGCTTAACTCTATAGTACTCATTTGCCTGCCTGTTTGTAAACCCCCAAAGCCTTGTGACTTCCTGCTGGCTTCCCCATTCACTTTCTGGGAAGCTAGCAGAAGTTGCAAGTCATTCATGTGAATTCTAGCTTAATTATCATGATCCTCGCTTAACAACAACAAGAGGTAGGCAGTGATTAATGTCACTAAGCAATGCAGTCACATGCCATGGCACTTTATGACTGTATCGCTTAATGATGGAAATTCCAACCCCTATTGATATTGTAAACTTTACATACAATGTTAGATATAAACCTGTTGAGAAAACTAGTCTTTAAACTACACTTACATACCAATAAATCAAGTCAAATGCCCCATAGATCATTTTTATTAAATATATACATTCATGGTATTTTTTGAATAATTCTTTAATCTATTACAAAACATGTCCACTGGATGTCAGTGTTCTTTCTTAAAATGGTCCAAGTACATGAAATTTCCTATTTTGTCTAACAAATCAAAAGTTAATAGCTAAGAAATATTTTTCTATTGATCCTTTTTCATACTTGTTTTTCCATGTGAATTGAAAGTAGAGAATGGCCACTATTCTAACTAACAGAAAAATCAATTTGGTAATACTTGCATGATTTTTTATTCTGTTTGTCATGTTGTCAAGTATCATGATAAATCGACCACTTTGAATGCATGAGAATATATTAGAAGAGGTTCATTTTTATATAAAACAAATCTCTTTACTATATCTAGAGTACATTAAATTTGAATGATAAATTTAATTTAAGAATTGAATTAAAATTTTAGGATGAAGTGTGAATTTAGTAGTATTTGATAATGTGGGATTGAGATACATCCTGATCGTAAATCAGTAAAGATATTACTATTGATTAATGTACAGTTTGTAAAGGGACATGTTTTGATGCTATAAAATTAAAAATAGGATAATTCCCTGTTATAAGTTTGGTAATTTAATAATTTAATGCCACCTGAACATATAGATGTTCTGAAATGTTCATGAAAATTTTCTCATTTTCAGGAGAGTAACCGATGAAGAAGAAACATTTATTGGTGATCGGGAAGAAAGACGACTGCAATACGCTCAACGGTAAGTTTGGAAAATTTTAACTGTAATACCATTCTCTTAGCAAATCTTAAGTATTGGCTACTGAAATATTATTAGGTTGCAGAAACAGAAAAGGATTCCTGATGCCTTTCAGCCTGTCCTTAGTGAAAAACTTTGAGCTTCAAAATAGTTTGTTGGCTTGTTACAAGCAAGGATCAAGTTTATTGCTGGTCACAAGTGGAAGCGTGGCAGGAAATAAATTGCAACAATCTGGATATTCATTCATTGAAATTCTGCCAATATCCTTGCCATAGTGCTGCTTCTTTTTATAGGTAGTCCTTGAGTTAGAACCAATTATTTAACAAGCTTTTAAAGTGACCATGAAAAAAGTTACTTTGACACTTGTTACAGAATCACTGCAGTCATGTATCAAAATTTGGGCCCTTGGCAACCAGCATGTATTTATGATGGCTGCTGCATGTCACATGATCACTATTTTCAACCAGCAAAGGTTTTCAAGCTGCAAAGTCAATAGAGAAAGCCAGATTTTGCTTAATGACTACATGATTTGCTTAACCATCACAGTGATTTGCTTAATGAGCGTATTGCTTAGCAACAGAAGTTCTGGTCCCAATTGTGGTCATAAGTCAAGAACTACTAACTGTATTCTGCTGGAATTCAGATCTGCCCAGCAAAGTAAGGAAATGTGTATGCATTACAGAGATCTGCACTGAGTAGGCAGTGGCCTAGAGGTGTAGCTCTCGCATCACAATCAGGAGTCTGTGAGTTTGAACCTAGGCAGAGGCAGATATTTCTCTCTCTGGGCACACTGAGAATATATCTGCTGAAAAGAAACTCCGCATTGACGACAAGAAGGGCCAGTAAACATTCAGCTCCATTCAATTGCCCAGACTCCACCCAGCAAGGGATTATGAGGTTGTTAAAAGAGCATGATTGCAGAGATCTGCACTGGTTGACAAGGATTAATCAAGTGCACAACAAAAATTATAGTTTATTTGTTTGTTTGTTTATTTACTACTTTTCATGTTTTTTGCCATCTATCTCCCTCTCAAATAGTCCGTGTCTGGCTGTTTACAAGGTATCTTTTCTGTTGCAAACCTTTGCAGCCATTCCTAATCTGCAAGAAGGGCCTTTTTGAAGATGCCCAATTGTTAGTCTGGAATGAAGGAGAAAACCTGTTGTATTGCTTGTGGGCTATGGAACAAACTCCCTTGGAAGTTAAATATTGCTTCCTTCTTTCTACATATAGAAAAATCTTAAAGGCATAGCTCTTTCATTAAGCTATTAATTATTGATTGACTGTGTTAACAATTTTAGTTTTTAACCATTGTAAATGTTTTTTTAAAATTTTGGTAGCCACTGAAAATAGAAATCCAATATATAAATCAAATTAATATATTCTTAAAATACATGTCTTGTCTAGAGGCTTACATAATGTACAGTTTTTAAAAACTCATGTATGTTAAGAATCACAGGCAAATATACATAAAGTCTAGTGAAATATAATTCGTTTTTAGGCAAAGTTGCAGAAATGTTCTCTTGCTTATCCAGCAAGAGCCAGCTGGATAAGCATTTTGTCTCCTTGATAAATATCTAAAATGATAGAGACCTTCACCTGAAGACTAGATGGGAACTCTTATTTATTTCATTTTTCCAAGAGACTGTTAAAACAACATATAAAATGCCTACTTATGAAGGCATTAAAAAAGCTTACTGCACCTAATCAAAGAAGGGACAAGTTTAGGGTTATTCCAGATCAAGTGAGGCCCATCAGGATGTAAATGGAAAGAAGAAAAAATTGAGAAACTATGTATTTTTGGAGCTAAAAGTGAAAAAAATCTCCAGAGGCAATAATGCCTTGTTGTTTCTTACTATATATTTCCACTACTAATCATGTATTGGGTATCCTGTGACATATTTCTTTCTGAGGTGAAGTTCTAATGAATTGCTCCCTTAATTCAGCTTCTTACCTTTTTTTTAAACTTTACTGCTGCAATAGATGGAGAAGAGAGATCCAAGAAGTATGAGTGTGTTTGTGTGTGTGAGTGTGTGTGTGTGTGTGTGTGTGTATAAAGTAAACTTTTACTTCCTTTATTTTGAAATTGTTTGATAACCAGTACTTTAAATTTTATCTGAATGCCCATTGGTAGCCAAACAGCTGACATAGCAATGATGTCACATAAGGGTACCAAGAAATGCTTATGACTGTTTGGCTGCTGCGATCTGGATAAGCTGTAAGCTTCCAAATGGGCTTCAAGAGCAGCCACATGTAGACTGTGTTGCAGTAATCTAGGCAAGAAGTAAATTAGATTACAGGCAGTCCTCGATTTATGACTACAATTCAATCCAAAATTTCTGTTTTTCTCGATTAACGACCTTTCTTGTCACAGTTGTTAAGCAAAACTTTCATTTTAGAAGCCATTAGATATGCTAAAATTTGAAAAGGTTGGTTGGTACTCATACCACATTCGTTGTGGGAAGGGAGGAGAGGCTTTTGTGGGGCTAGCCTGAGGGAGAGAAGGGGAGAGGAGAGGCCGATCGTAGCTACTCATTAATTTTCAAACTCTTAAGTGTCAATTTATCAAGCCCGATCACATAGTTTCGTAGCGGAATACGGGTATTCAGCTAGTTTATGGATAGAAATGACTATGTAGATGTAATCCATTTTCCATTATTTTAATAGCTATACAGAATAGTTAGTGCTGGTTTGTCATTTTTATTTTATAATCATCATCACCTTAAATATTTGTTATATTCTCTAATGTTAATAACCTTTGCAGGAGACATGAAAGAAGAGTGAAATATGATGAGCTACGCAGAAAATATGGTATGTACAACATTATTTCCATCCAAAGCTTTTTATCTCAACAGTGTTTGTAAGCATGATGTGTAAATTCTGTTTAGCAAAGGAAAACGGCTGATTACTGAAACCTCTTATTCAATTTGTTCCTATATCATTAAGTGTTTTGCAGTGCAATTTGTGAAATTGTGAGGTTAAGCAGTTTTCCTGCATCATTAGCCATTCTGCTTGTAAAGTGATGGGCAGGTTTAACCAATATTCTTCATACATGTTATTCAATACCTGAATACAGTTTTCTAGTCCATGTAAGTATTAGGGTTAAATGTTTGCCTTTGGCATAACATTAATCCAATATAGTACATTCAAAATGTTGGCCGCATTCACATATCACACATAATTAATATGATATATAATCAGAATTAATGTGTATTTTGTTTTAGAGCAATGAAACACAATTTGGAAAAAAAAATAGATTGGTGTATTTGTATGTTTTCACTAGTAAGCACCATACCAGGGATTAATATAAAGCCATGCTTAGCATTCAAAAATTCCAATTCTGTCTTGTTCAGTTAATTTTTTAAAAAACGAAGTGCAACTTTGTGGGAGCTTTGACTACAATCTTGACCTATATATGGCATTTTTAACACCAAAAGGTTAGTTAGCTATTTTAATTCTTCAGACCTATTGAATTGTGACTGTGTCATTGCTTGATATGGAAAAAAAGAAAATAGAAATAAAGAAATAAATATTATTGAGCCATCAGTGGCATATACGACTCAGTTATAAGCATAAGGAACAGTTTACCATAAAATTAAAATAAGCGACTTGTGTTTCACCTGGCTACAGAGGAATAAAATAAGCAGTAGATTAAGTTGCTTACTCTATTCTCTATTTTGAAAAAGGAATTCTCTCTCATATTTATGCATGAATGCATAATAGAGGGGAAATAATTTGCTAACACATTTCTAAATTAAGATGACTGCAGACTTGTTTTGTTAGGAGGGAAAAAATCATCCTCCCCTTCCTCCCCTTTAACTTTTCTTACTCCATTTAAATGGTAATTATACATTGATAATGCATTCCATGTGTCCCTCACTCTAGCTATGGTCCTTTGGGGGCGGGGGGGGGGGGAGAATGCAGCGGCACTTCGAAAGTGGACTGCTCCACATGAGTGGTTTCTTTGTGCAAGGATTTGTCCTTTTCCCCCCATATATTCTTGAATGAATATATATTGCCCAAATTCATCTTTCATTGCTAAATGAAAGGAATTATTTTTTTTAGAAATATATTTGTATTCTTGTACATTCTAGAAGAAAAACGCAATGCTTTCCATAATTGTCTTTAGACTTAAAAACTTGTTACAGAATAGAGTAAGCATTGATAGAAGGGAATGAAATATTAGTGGCTCAGGGTTGGTCTGTAAGGTCCCTGGTGCTCTGTGAGTTTTCTTGTAGATATTTCATTACCAAACTAGGTAATAATATCAGTGCAACAACCAAGGTCGAAAAGTACAAAGGTCCCATATGTTATTGATGTACTACAGTTCTGTTTTTACTCTCAAAAGCTACAATTTTTTCAGTATTGTAGGAATCAACCAGTGGTAGGTTGCTGGTAGCAGCGATGGCGGGAGGCTCCGCCCAGATGCGCACACGAGCGAACCGATAGCAAACTAAATTGAAACCCACTACTGGAGTCAACAATCCCAAAACATTTGTGATGAACTAGACTGGGAATAGATTCAAAGAAGACACTAGTACAGGTGGTCCTTGTATTACGATGGCAACTGGGATTTGAATTTCCATCACTAAACAATGTGGTCATAAAGCGCAATAATATGCAGCCACACTGCTTAATGGTAGCAATCCCTGCACTCACTGCCATTGCTAAGTGAGGATCATGGGTCATTGGGTGAGCATTTCCTTCCTGCCAGATTTCAACAACCAAAGGCAATGGGAAAGCCGGAAGGAAATCCCAGGTGACTTTGAAGTAGGCTGGGAGGCAGGTAAGTGGTTGCTGTTGAGGGTGCACGAATGGTGAGGACGGAGTGGCACAGTCTCAACAAGGCTTGGCAACAGTCTGTAAGTGGTTGGAGAGGTTGCACAAGTAGCTGCGGAGGCACGGTGTGAGGTTCAGGAGGGTGCACAAAGGTGTACAGGTGGCACATGGCGTGCAGAGGGCTTTGAAGGGGGCACATGGGTGGGAGAAACTTATTCAAATAAACTGTGTCCTTCTCTGCCAGCTTCCCCATTGACTTTACTTATGGGAAGCCAGCAAGAAAGATTGCAAATCACAGTCACAGCATTACAGGATACTGCAACCATTGTAAATGCAAGCCTGTTGCATAGATTGTGATCATTTGACTATGGGGTGCTAGGATGGCCGGAACTTCAAAGAACATTGGTAAGCACCAGTAATCCAGCATAATTGTAACTTCAAGCAGTCATGAACAAGGGGATTGTTAATCAAGTAACTACCAGTGCATTAGGTATTTCCCATTTCCTATTACTATCTCTCCTGGAAAAGGTTTGGAAACACACACTGTAATGACATAACACAAGTTGAAGAGGACATTATTATAACGAGCCAGATAAAATTGACATGAGTTTGTTGTTTTTAATAGCAACCTCATACTTGTATAGATTCCCCTTAATCATTAATGCTGCCTCTTCTGTGAAAGTTTTTCCTTTCTAGGGTTGCTTATAGTTATATGCATTGTATTCATGACTGTAATATTTACAGAAGTCTTGTATTTTAATTTTTTTTAATCATGCCTTTATAATGAGGCATATGAATAGGGTATCATATTCGGTATTATACATGTGTGTTTGCACTGGCATATGTGAACATTAGAATGAAGTTTACTGCATGGATATTCACTACCATTATCTCTGTAACTTACTGATTAAAATCTGGCTACTCTAATCACCCCATCTTGGCTCCCTATATATTGTGTTCTGTAAATCTTGTTCGTCCTTGACATTAAAGATAGGACTTTCTAGTGCAAGAGAAGCGCTCCATAAACGTCCTTCCTGAATTGTGTTATGATTGCCCTTTAAACTGTATTGATACTGCCATTGTTCCGCTTATCCTTCAATGCCATAAATTGTTATGTAAGCACCATATGCCAATCTCAATTGCTCATTTAACTGGTGAGCAATCTAGTTAGTATATACACAGGGAGACTTCTTTCTGTCTGGGGAGCACTCTGCCTTGATTAAAATTTTTGATGGATGATGAATGACTTACGCTTTGGATTAACTTGAAGGCTGGTTTGAAGGCTTCTAGACTTTAATTGGCTATTAGGATTTAGCATTTTTTACAGTTTAATGCACAGATGTCCATTTTTTTCCAGGGATCTTGAGCTAAACTACACTTAGGAACTAAAAATCTGTCTATGAAAATATCCTCTGAGGTGCTAGGCATATTTGTAGTAGTCAATTTTTCTAGTCAAATTAATTTTATGTATTATGACAAAGTCCTTTAAGTGAGATAAATTTGTGCTGTATAAATCAGTATGTCTCTGTTACTGGGCATTAGTTAATTATGGTAAGCTCATTTCTATTTCATTTATTTTTGTATTTAATTTATAAGCCTCATAAGTAATGCAACATACAACATCATGAAATAAAACAAGGGAATAAACATAAAAGTCAAAAACTATAGTATTATATTGGGGATAGAGATGGGAACAGCTAAGAAATAAAATCCTGATTTTAGCTCAGGATCCCAAATCACTTGTTTAAGAACCAATGGAAAGAATCTCAGTGAAGAACTTTCCTAAACAACAGTATCAGGTTAGGACTGTGTAGACTTCAGGAGATAGGATACTATCCAATAGAGCAAGTATGGTCACGAAAAGCATATCTCCAAACCCCCATGAGGTTAGTGTTTAATGATGGCATGGAGCAGGCCCACATTATTAGATCTAATACAGTAGAGCGGGCAGACATAACACGAGAAGTAGCCTCCACAGATAAGCAGGCCCTAAGTTGTAAAAGGCTTCATAGATGGTGATCGGCACCTTGAATTTTTGCCCAGAAGGCTATTGACAATTAGGGTAGCTGAATCAAAGTGCACTCAGAACCACTTATTCTGATGCATTCTGGACCAAGTGTAGCTTATGAATGGTTTTCAAAAGCAGCCCTACACATAGTGCATTGCAAAAGTTCAACCATAAAGCGTAAGTGACCAGGAAGAAACCTTCCAATCTGAAGAAGATGCACATTTGATGCACAAAATGCATCTATAGAAAAACCCTCTGACTAGAACTGCTAACGGTTCCTTGAGCAAGAGTCAAGTCTAGGAGAAGACCCAACTATACAGCAGCAGCAGCAGTTCTATCTGGGGAACTGCAATTCCCAGAAACTTGGATAGTTTCTGGAAATGGAGGACCCTTGAATTTTCAGTCACGTAGTCTAGCTAGAGTTGAGCCCAAGCTTATTTTTCTCCTTTCAGTCATTAACGAGAATGCACTGAGACAGGACTTTCATAGTATCTCATGGTTATCCTGGCTTCAAGATGATGAGCTATTCTCTGCATATGGATGAAACCTGACTCAGTGCTTGCAGTTGTAGAAATAATATATGAGGAGAGCATCAAGCTACAAGAAGCCCTACAAAGGGTCTTGGGATTGATTTCTTCCTCCACCATCTAGAAATGACCTGGAGAAAGGAGGAGATCCACAGCAACACAGTATTGCCACATTCAGTTATTGAGCCAGAAGAATTCCGCATTATCAAAGGTCACACACAAATCAACCAAGACTTGGAGAGTTAAACTCCTTTTATCTCAGTGCTAAGAGGGGTTGTCAACAAGCATTTTCTGTTTGCAGTTATGACTAAAAATCCCCCTTGTTTTGTATTCATACAGAAATTGGGATGCTCCATTCTTAATAGTTATTAGCCACCATGTTCAGCAAAGGATAATTCTTAATCTCTACCTTAATACTTTCTTGTAATTTTATTTTTTAGGTCTGCTCCAGGATTCCGACCATCCCTATAGTAGATATGAAAACGAATGAAAAAATAGTACTACTGCCTTAAAATGAAATGTTGATGTTTTCATTGCACGAAATTTGTACATAAATATTCAGTAGAACTTAATGTTTATTTTACTTTTTTTTTTCCTCCTTTCCTCCTTTTGGAAACAACAGTATTATATTTGCATCTAATGATTCTAGTATAAAATGCCTCAGAGGTTTCTTTTTCCCCTATAGAAGAAAAAAAAAACTAGAGGAGTGCAAGTTTGAGGTAGAGAAACAGTTTACTTTTTCTTAAACATCACAGATGTTTGGGGAGTGAGGGGAACAATACTGTCATCCTTTCCATGCTGCTAAATAAAGAGGCTCTTTAAATCTGCGTCAAGTAGGTGTTGGCAAGTATTTGACACTGCAGAGGTGAGGCATCACACAATCATAGCTTACACCACCTTTATGTTAATAGAATACAAAGGGTGTAAGTGAAAGAATCTTGCTGGCTAGCCGGTACTTTCAGCACCATCAGATTCTTGAATATGGCCTTTTAATCACTGCAGCCTTCCACAGTCTCTCAGCTCAAGTTCTTGAAATTGGCTTTTTCCAGTATTTAAACGTCCTGATTGCAATGGATTATATCGTCCCTGATCCTTTGTACTTAAGGAAAGACCACCTAAATGAACACTTGACTTTAAAAAAGAAAATTTAAGAAGATAGTAAAAATTTGTAGTATTATATCAAAAATCTGAGTTAACAGCTTTCCATTTTGATCTCTGTACATTCGTAGATTGTGTTGAAAAGTCTTGTTCTTGATTCATTCCTCAAGCAATTATCTACTTTTTCTAATAATGTACAAGAACTATCTGTTTACTTTTTTCTAATGTACAAATTTTTTGTATATATTTCTGTCTATATAATCATTCCTAACATCTATCAAAGCAGATATTTCCAATATCTATGCTACTGTATAATTAAAATAGAATCACTAAATGGTTCACGGCACTGTGCTTCAGACTTGAAGAGAAGAAAATGCTTTGAAGCTCAATGGATGTTCCTCCTCCTTCAGGCCAACTATGTATTTTGTGTGGATCACGTAGATAACCTTCACAGCCGTACCAGTATCCCAGGCTGTTCGATTTAGCAGCAGTTAAGCTGGTATGGACATATGCATCCATGTACACTCAAAGGTACATTTTTCTTTTTACATCTGAAGCACAGCATAGCTGCTTTATTTAGATATTCATAGTTAAAGCTGTTTTTCTTAAGCAGGGAAGAAAAATGATCTAATAAAGACTGAAATTGCTTTATAGTGAACATTGCATAACAATTTGAAAATGGTGGGAAACAGGGTGGCTTCAGTAGAATACTTTCTTTTCCAAAAGAACATGCTGTAATATTTTATTGTGGGTAACATTCCTCCTCTGTATTTAACAAACCTACATGCTTTGTCATGTCATTATGCAGCTGAAGTTTCTTAAACAAAACTGAAAACTAGGGCTCATTAATCTTATATTCATTATGAAGATGTGATTTTCAGGAATAACTCACCACAGTTTTCCCGTATCAAATTTGCTTTGCGTAGTTAATGGTCTTTCAGAAATAGTGTGAAAAGGGACATGTTGAGCCAAAGGAAGAACAGTCTTGTTCTGTTAATTGAAACTTTCACCCAATCAAATACAATGTGAGGCCACCAATGAGACTAAACAGATCAATTGTATATTTCCATCTTAAACTGGAGCAATAGACATTTATTACTTTATAAACTTTTTTTTTTGAAAAATTTTAAGTAGAAACATATCTACCCAAATTGTTTGTAATGCCATTTGAAATAATGTGGCCGGTTTATCTTTCACCTTATTTAAACCAGATTCGTGATTTTTGAGAACTTACAGCTTTGGATACTATTTCTGTAGTGAGTTCTCACTGGAGATATCTTGTGAAGGTGGAAGCTGCATGTGATATGGAAATATATTTTTTATTTGATCTGAATAGTTAATTGGACTGCTAGCAACTTCTCTTAGGTATCTGATGGATAAACATTTATTTGAGCTTATTTTGTGAATGATTAATGTGAAAATGTAATTGCACCTTCTGCTTTTGATTGCTATATTAGCCTTGCTGTTTAGTATTCCTCTTTTCTCTGGACAACCATCTATATAGATTATCTCAGAATAATAATTTGTGAATCCGCCAAGGATGACAGATCATGAAAATTTTGCCTCAATAAACCTTTAGAAGGCTTCAAGATGTGTAAAGTTTTGTACCTAGCTATGATATGTGTACAACTGGAGGATATGTTTTAGTGTTTTCTAATTCAGATGAAAATTGCATTAATAAAAAAAAAATCACTTTGTATATTATACTTTATTTAATTGTTTATTTTCATGTTTTACTTTGTTTAATTTTGTATTTTGTTATGTTTGCAAATGTGGATTATCACTATAATAAACAAATTAAGGATATGGTTCTGCCTATGTTTATGTGAAATTAATTAATTGAATCTTGAATTGTATTTTACCCATGAGGGAAGGAAAACTAAAACAACTCACAGCTAAAGAGAATTCTGTTAACAGAAAGAAATGCAGAAGTGACTGGTTCCACCTTCAGAAACTTTCAGTACTACCACCTTCAGTACTATCTCTCCTCTCATAGCAAAGTGTCTCCAATCCTTTGGAACCCATCACCCTTTCATCAGTTTGCAATTTTTTTGATGTTAATGTATTTTGTGTCATAGTAATTACATTCAGTGTAGAATGTAGATCACTGGCATCCTTCAGTCTCAAGGGATTATGGTATCATGCTCTGGAAAGAGATCCTAAAACAGCATCTAGTGTGACTAAAAAAGCCAATTCAAGAGTGGCAAAAACTTCCACACTGAGGGCAGATACATTTTGTCCCCTGCCCAGCCCCCAGATTTTGCTGGTTCCGGGACTGCCTCTTTGCCTCAGCCTGCCGAACAAGTGTCTCTTTGAATTGGAGAAGGCCGTGCTGCGTTTTTAGGCTCCAAGCTGAACGATCAGGGGTCAAGGTTTCCCAGTTGTTAATGTCCATTCCCAGTGCCTTTAGGTCCCTCTTGCAGATATCCTTATATCGCAGCTGTGGTCTCCCTCTGAGGCACTTTCCCTGCACTTATTCTCCATACAGGAGATCTTTCGGAATCCGACCATCAGCCATTCTCACGACATGCCCCAGCCAGCGTATACGTCACTGTTTCAATAGTGTATTAATACTAGAAATTCCAGCATGTTCCAAGACTGCGCTATTTGGAACTTTGTCCTGCCAGGTGATGCCAAGAATTTGTCGGAGACAGCGCATATGAAAGAATGTAGAACACTTTCAGAAAATGCCTAGATGAAGAAAATGGGCTATTTGGGAAAAGAACACAAATATACAGGTAATCCTTGATTTACAACTGGTCAGTTAATGACCATTTCAAATTATGACAAAATGGGTGTTTTACAGCCCTCAAAACATTTCTGGTCATTGTAAAACGTTGCAACAATCCTCCCATGGTCACATGACTGGATTGGCAAGTGGCTTGCCTTTATGGGTTGTCACATCCCATGATTTGCCACATTTTTGCCAGTTTTGGCAACACCCATTTGGAACAATGAGTCCACACTAACGACTGGCATTTGTTTAAGGCCTGGATTCACAGAGGAAAAACAGCTTATATATTATCAAGCAATGAGAATACTATGTGTTTCAAATTGTTACATAAGCTAATGTTGCCTGGGGGAAGATGGAAATGTTGAGTTTCCAAGTCAGACAAAAATAGCATGTGTGATTTGGTTAACGGCATAGTTTTGTCTCTAATTTATCAACTGGGTTACAGCAGCTAAGATTAATACATTGCAAAGATGGGGAAATGGCTTAGATTTTCTTGCATTTGTTTCACAGTCTACATGTATAAGACAAACTAGCAATTAGCTATGTAATATTGTCTTTATATCTGATCCTTGCTAAGCAGCACATGAACAGCACGGGGAAATAGTCGCAGCTACTCTTGCGGACACTAAAAATTGTTTAGTACTATCTTCTAAGTATTCCCTTCTGAACATGAGCAAAATGGTGATTTATAAGAATTAGCATTGTATCTTAGACCTGTATACATAGTTGCAATGTGATGTTTGAATTCTTTTCCAAAATTTGTGTTTTTTGTTTTTTTTTTTAAAAAGGGTCATATTTTTCAAATCACAGTTGCCTGTGCCAGGCTCCCTAGAATTAGACAGGAAGCTTAAGAGCACTAATGACCAAAGGCAGCCATTTCCTGTAGCTTGTGCCAATGTATAAACAGCCTTTTGAGGAGCCTTTTCCAAGTCAGTTTTCTAAGAAGATGCTTTCTTTCTTGATCACTCCATTCCTGGTGACTGCCTGGATAAATCTGCAGTTTGCTTGATAGCAACAACTAGAACAAAGAGAAAGAGGCAGGCTTAGAGTTAAATGTCTCAAGATTTCCAAAACAACTTAGTATTTTTCCAGAGTTCTATCTTCTCATTTTAGTATTCAATTTAGTATTTTTATCTTTCTTGTTATGTCCCTTTTTAATATGGCCATTATATTTGCCTTCCCAAAATCATACCAGTCTTCATTTCTAACCAAACTTGGGGAGCATGTTTATAAACAGTCACCATGTTGTCTTCTGTGATCACAGCTTCTGATTCTAATCAAAATGAAAGGCAGTGTCTCTTCTCCATCTGCTATACATACCTGATACCTTTTGTCCAAATCTTGACAAATTTGTACCGTGTTTCCCCAAAAATAAGAGCCTGTCTCATATTTTTTTGAACCCTGAAAAAAGCCCTTGGCCTTATTTTCAGGGAGGTCTTATTATTTTGGGCATGGAGCAAGATGGGGCTCCTCTTGCCGTCTTACCTGATTTCCAGCTCTACATTTAAATATTTTTGGAGAGAGATTATTTTTGGGGGGAGGCTTATTTTAGTGCATGCACTCAAAAGCCCGATTGGGCTTATTATCAGGGGATGTCTTATTTTCGGGGAAACAGGGTAGATACCTAATGCATTTAAAGAAATCTGCAGCTCATTCGGTGCTTAGCTCAGCTTTTGCAGATTTAAACTATATCTCTGTTGTAGAGAATCCATGGATGCTATAATGTGAGATCATTATGCCCTTGATCTAATAAGGATAAGTTCACCTTTGCATACTGGTATTCTATAAAACATAAAAGCAAGCATTGTTTATTATACAGCTCTTTTGCACTCCTGTCTTGTTGTTTCACGCTTCTGATACCACTCTGAAGGCCTTCTCTTTAGGATAATAATCACTAAGATATGTAGTGATAATATATTGATGTTACATTTTTTGTGTGACACCGACTAGATGAGCTAAGAATTTTAATGAATTTAACTGAAAACTGAAAGGTAACTTGCTCTTTTCTTTGGACAAATCATTTGGTGGCCCTGCTTGACCCGATCAGCCACTTAACTCATAAACTTTTGTTTTCTTTCAGCAGCACACCATCACGCTAACTGGATCATAGGTCACCAGTTTGAAATTATTGGAGAAGGAATTTCCTGATGGCTTTCATGAGATCATGAAACATAAGGGTAACACAAAGGACTACAAAAGTGTGAAATGTTTTGAGATCTCCATATCTCGTTATCAGCAAAATATTGTAGCAATGGCCTTGTTTATATATAACATATAATAGTGAGCTACTAACCTAGTTTAACACTGATTGTTCAGGCAGAACCCAATTACATTAATAGGTCAAGAAATGCCATTTTAGGGAATACCAAATCCTCACCCGCTGTCTCTAGTTCATCTTACACCAGGAATATATGGAGAAAACTTCAGTACTTCATTGGCTATAGCTCCACTGGCCTGGCAGACACTGGTCCTTTCCCACAAATATACACAATTGGTTATGAAGAAGGGGGCACTTCATTGTGGATATAAATGATTGACCTAGTCATATAGGGTTAAACAAAGTCTGCTCAGTTGTTTACAGAAGAATAAATATCTCTTCCCTGAAACCGATTGACTGCAGCAATCATGCAATACCTACTGTAGCCTCCCAAATCAATGGGGGAATTGGATATGAAAGATACATTTCTATATTTTGCATAATCATGACCATTTTCAGGATTTTCCTTGTGAATGTAAATTAAGCTTTAAGAAAGATGCAACTGTACTTCTATTGAGATAAATGTATTTTCTTTTTGTAGAGAACTATGTTCTGTTTCCCAAATCATGTGTTTTAGTTAATACCAAAATAGATGTCTTTCTTTCTCTGTAATGATTTGTTTTTCCAATGATGTAGTGCCACACAACTAAAAACTCTTCAATCTTTTAAGTAGAAGATGACATTTTGCCAGAAAGCGAAGTGTTATCTGCCTGAATATTGTAAGAATGACATGGAAATGTGACCTGCAAGAAACTGTTAAGAGCTACATCTTTAGAGAAAGGCAGATCTGCTGCCTCTAGCTCCAGAGAGCTCTTAGATCCGTTATTCTGCAAGGATTTAGGCAGGATAAGTGCTAATGTTTTGTAGAATGACACTATTGCTTCAAGAACCAATGCTGAGACCGCTGGAGACTACAGGTAAATTATTTTTAATGTGGTGACAGCTGAATGATGTGGTCGTAAAGCAAAATATAATGATACACTGCACTGGCCACAGAAAATCAGGTTTTCCACAAGAAATGTAAGAGGTAGCAGAAAAGAGCTGGAGAATTCAAAGTGCAGCTTATTTATTTCACCTGTTGCCTGCCATAATTCAGAGGAGCTCATGGCAGGTTCCATAATAAAACCAAATAAAAATAAATGATGAATTATTGATTTATTGATTTATTGGTTCGATTTATATGCGGCCCTTTTCCGGAGACTCAGGGAGGCTTACAATGCTTTAAGCAATAGCCTTCATACTTTTATATATATCTGCTTAGTAGGGCTTTCGCGCCCCCCCAAGCGGTGTTCTTTTTTTATACAAAGTCACCTTATTGCCGCCACAAACCGGGTCCTTATTTTACCTACCTCGAAAGGATGGAAGGCTGAGTCAACCTTGAGCCTGGTGAGATTTGAACTTGCAGTAATTGCAGGCAGCTGGTGTTACTTAACAGTGCTTTAGTCTGCTGCGTCACCAAGGCTCTTCATACAGTTAAAAACATACAGATCAAAACAAACAACAGAAATTTAAGGGGCAAAAGTTATCTAGGACACAAAAGTATTCTGAGGTATTAGCCCTTTTTGGAAGAATTTAATTTCTATAAAGATTTATACCATTTTTAATGTGTTGATTTTATGTTAAGAGGATAAAATGAAAAGACAATTTAGGAGTTAATATTTAAATCTGCAATGTTTAATTTGTTTAGTAGACCATGTTTTAAGCAGGAATAATTTGTTTCCCTCATTTTATTGAGTGTTTCATAAGTGCTTTTATCCATTCTCAGCTCTCAGAATGGAATGGTTAATCAAACAAATGTGATGTCTTCTTTTTCTG